ACGATTGATTATTGTCCAAACGGAACCATTTTCAAAAGGTATGTTTCAATTGCTGTTCCCATTCTTTTAATCCTTTCATTGAAATTCAATCTGCCTTAATGAAATTTTTGAAAATAATTTTCACACAACCTTCATAGACCTTGTCCCAAAGGATTTTACTGTGAAAATACACATACCATTGCTGCATGTGAATCCACTCAATACTGTCCCGAAGGTTCCATCACGTATCAACTCTGTCCCAAAGGATACTATTGTCCCAACGCCACTGTGAAAATTATTTGTCCAGTCGGATATTTCTGCGCCCCAGGTTCGATTCGTCCAAGTGAATGTTCTTGGTTTTTATCGTTGTGTCCTGAAGGCAGCAGTACGGATCAAATGACTGTTGGAGGATTGATCTTGTTTGGAAGTATTTTGTTTTTAATTTTCATGATCAATGTCATTTATGAAATTGCTTTCAAATTGTATGTGAAAATTAGTGCCAAATTAAGAAAAAAGAGACGAGAATTGGGAGAAAAATCATCTCTATTTTCAGCTAAACAGAGAAGAGATTTAATGACATCTTCTATGGCGACTGCAAGTTTTGTTCAAGACAATTTCACTGTGGATATTGGATTTGAAAATTTGGGACTAATTTTAAGAGGTTCAGGAAAGAAAGTCCTTCATGGTGTGACGGGTGAAATCAAACATGGACAATTGACAGCAGTGATGGGTTTGTCAGGATGTGGAAAATCAACATTCATTACGACATTGGCCAATCGAGCATATTATGGAACTCAAGTTGGAAAAGTTTTTGTGAATGGAGTGGAGGAAAAATTATCAAATTACAATCGAAGAATTGGATTTGTACCTCAAGATGATATCATGATTCCAACCATGACAGTCGAAGAGACGTTGTACTTTTCTGCAAGAACTCGATTGGACGCTAAAAAGTCGAGAAAGGATATTGATGCCATTGTGAATGATGTCATTAAGGTATTAAATTTGGAAGATGTGAGACATTCAGTTATTGGAGATCAAGAGAAGAGAGGTATTTCTGGAGGTCAACGTAAGAGAGTGAATGTAAGTCTAGTTGAATATGTTTATCTTTTAAATTCATCTAATAACACGAATTTAAATTACCATTGCCAACTCAAACACCACACCTTAGGTTGGTATTGAATTGGTCTCCTCTCCTCTTGTTCTCTTCCTAGATGAACCCACCAGTGGTCTCGACAGTGCCAGTTCCAAAGAAGTTTGCGAAGCTCTTCAAAACATTTCCAGAGCTGGCATCAATGTCATTACAGTCATCCATCAACCTCGATATGAAATTTTTACCATGTTCGATACTTTACTGCTTCTTGGAAAGGGTGGAAGAACCATTTATTTAGGACCTGTGGACCGAGTGGAAGAATATTTTGAAAAAGAATTTGAATTTGTGAAACCTAATGGAATTAATTTGGCTGATTTTGTTATTGACATCTCAGCAGGAATGGTTGAAAATGAAAAGTATCCAAATTTCGATCCTCATTCATTGCCAGAATATTGGGAAGAGAGAAAACACAAATATGATACCAATGCTCGTGCAAGTTTGGGAATTGGAGGTTTTCTTGATAGAGACAACACGACATCAACACCATTGGTCAATCCTTCTTCAATGTCAACTTCGGTCAACTCAACCTCAACCACAGGTAATGCATTGAATTATTACATGACAAAACCTCCACAAATCATGACACCCACTCCAAGATCCAAACGAAAATTCATCAATCCAAGACTTCCATACTTTGCACAATTTTGGATGTGTTTCAAACGAAGTATAGTCCAATTGCTGAGAGGATTACCAAGTCTCGTTCTCGATTTTTCACTCATCTTTCTATGTGCTTCCTTTTTAGGGTTACTTTTTTACAATAAGGTGTATGTAGGTCCTCCTCCATCAAATGTCTATGAGAAATGTCCTGGAGATTTACAAAAAGTTTGTAAACAACCTGCCGACGATCCAATTGCTACCATTTCAGCATTAATGTCTCTTTCCATGGCTTTGATGGGATCCATGGCTGCCCTTCGAGTATTTGGAAAAGAATATTTGAATTTCTACAGAGAGAGTCAAACAGGTCTGAGTACTTTTTGTTACTTTTGGGCCAAGGATATGTCCATGTTAATTGTGAATATTTTTGCACCCATTGTGTTCTTGACCATTTACTACACGACAGTTGCACCACTCGCCTCCGTGTTGGAATATTACTATGCATTGCTTTTGGTGTATTGGGCTTCGTATGGATTGGGTTATTTCATTAGTATAATTGTCAAACCAAATGTTGCACAATTGACATCTGTAGTGATTGTATTCATTTTCAATGTGTTTAGCGGTTCTACAACTCCTCTTCCAACACTTCGTGACATGTATTTCCCGATTAATATTTTCCCAGCTCTCTCCTATTTGACATACAGTCATGAAAATATTTACCTTATTGAACTTGAAAGATATAGACACTTGTATAACACAACTACGAGTATGGAAAATATGGGTTACAAGTGGGATGAGTTGGGCCTTACAATTGGCATGGTAGTGGTATTTGGAATGCTTTTTAGAATTGCTTCATTCGTGGCTTTGGTTTGTGTGAAACCATCAAGTTTGTTCAATTTAGGCATGTTTTCTTTTCAAAACTTTTTCTTGAACAAAGTTAGAGCCATTATGAAGAAGTTCAGAAAGCAGTAGGACAATTTTAACAAAGTCTTTTCAATTATCCATCAAAGGCACTCTCAGCTCCACACACGAAAAGTTCTCCGCTTGAACCATCCAAACAAACTCCATATGGATATCCCTTGTCAACAACTTCATACGAATCAATAAATTCAAAATTGTCTAATGAGAACACTTGAATTCTTACATTGTCACAATCCGATACAATAATATGCTTATTATCACAAACGACTCCACATGGATTCTTGAACGAACCAAGGTCACTACCAATGTTACCAATGCGCTTTACACTTTGCCACGAACAATGTCCTTGATCATCTTTACATTGAGTAAATATTTGAACGGAACTATTGTTCTCTACAGTTGTGACGACCATGTATTCTTTGTTTTGATCTCTACAGCTTGGATACGCAAACGTAATGGAAAATGCTCGATCGACACGAAACTTTGACAAGAGTTGTCCATTAGAAGCGTTCAGCTCAACCACCTGATCGCTCAGAATATCACAAACATATACTGAAGATTTTTTAGACCGAGGAATTGCAATTCCTTGAGGCCATCCACAATGATCGCTTTCCCAAATTTTTCGCCATTCCACCTTGTTGACATTCTCCAGACAACGCTGTAAATCATATTTGAAAACGCATTGATCACAGGCAAATATTATCAATGTATCATGCCCTTGATTGTCTTCCTCGATACACATGTATCTAGGCGACGAGCGTGGAGCGTTTAGAAAACATTGAAATTCTTTGGTTGCCAAATCAAAAACAACAATTCTGGCACTATTGCATCGGCTCACTAAAATACAATTCAAATTGTATGATATAACAACGTCTCCAATATCACAGGGAGTTATTCCATGCTCTTGTTCTTTAGGATCAAGAAAAAAGCCTCTGATCATTTCCGATTTCATTGCAAATGGTAAATTTCTGATCTTGAAATTTCTCATCTTGATTTGTAATTTTGTGTACAAACTTTGATTTTTTTCATCATCATGGCCGTAATTATTTTCCAAATGGCCCGATGAACGTGCGTGAGTGTTGGGCGCAAGATCCGTCAAAATAAGCCTTGTGCCAGAGAGCATTTTTTTTGTTGGCAATTAATTCACCACAATTATGTCATTGTCTCTGATACTGGTCAAAATCATTTTGGCACGAATGATTTATTTACACTGTTGGAATGACAATACACGATTCATGTGGACACTTCATTACCAATCTCCATCTCTCACATCATTCTTATTAAAAGTACCCTTATAGGTGGTCACATTATTGATAGTTACTGAGGAATCGTTTTGTTGAGGCCAAGCATATTTCTCTTGATCAATTTCCTTAACAGTTTTAACTTGACTCAAAATGTTGCTCTTTCCAACAGAGCCAACATCTTCATTGTAGAAATCAAACCATGGATAATTGTAACTGGAATAGGTCTGAGCAGTAATAGGTGTTGGAGGAACTTCCTCACCAGTTATTTCCTTGTACATTTCACTGTTGACAATGTGAATGAAAATTCTTGATTTTGTCGATTCATCCCAGAAGGAATAACCATAAGGGTCTTCAATAATTTGTTGTTTCATTTTACCACCTGCTGCAAGACCTAATTCTTTGGCTTGGCTATTTTCTGATTTTCGCTTCTTCTTTGATTCTAATTTCACTTGGTTGTGGATTGAGGATGATGAAGAAGATGATCGTGGCATTGGCATGGAGGATTCCGTTGCACAACATACATCAAGCATATCATAGTTGCTTGACGCGGATTCACACTGTGGCATTGGACTATTGACCATAGGAGGTGGGATTACATAGGAAGACGTAGTTGTAGAACACGATGATGAAAGTACTGATGGAGGTGGTGGCGGTAAGCAGGAGCTTGCCGAACATGGTTGAGCAAAAGAGTATGGTTTTGGAGGTTGTGAAGGTGGTTGAATTGCAGTATCTTTCTTTGATTTGGAGAAAAAGCCAAAACCAGATTGTTTTGGTTTTGAATCAGAAGGAAGAGTGGTGACAGTTCTCGATGGGAATTGTTTCAAGCGTTTGTCATGATGTGGGGCGTAGGCAATAATTTGTGTACCACCCACTTTTTCCTCACCGGTCACTTGACCTTCAACTGTGTAACCACCTCCGAGAGGCATGGCCACAAATTGCTTAATGTATCCATCTCCTGCATTGATACCATCCAACCATGGTTGCAATGGTGTGACTACATAATCTTGAACATTTCTTTGTTTGATTTGTTCATCCCAAGTTTCTCCCGATAAGGCATTCACTTTTCCGACAGCAATTTTCAAAGCATGAGGATATTCCGAATTGAAATTCATAAATTCTAACCACATGGCTTCTCGTTGATAGAGAGGAATGAAAACTCCTCCTTGTTTCTTCCAAGCTTCTGGCACTCGATCGAGATAATCATCGACTCGTTTCACTGGAAAGGAACCCAATGATGGTGGCAATGGATAGATCTTGCCATCGTCTGGAATACGAAGTGTTCTGTGGAAGGTTACTCCAATATTATCTTCGACTTCGTTATTGGGATTGTAAAAGATGAGTTGATTACCTTCAACCTTGACTGAGAGTTTGTTTGGAGGCGTTGACATGTTGTTGATCGAATTAGTGTGCAATGAGTTGTTGGTTGTTCAAATATTTTTTTTGTTTTGATTTCTTGTTGTTTCTCTCGCTGCTCTTATTTGTGAGCTCCAAAGCAAGTTCATGGCCCAAAAGGAGATCAAAAGGACCGAGTTCACAGTTGCTACTCAAACTTTTTCACCTTTATCACACACAAAGATGTAAACATTTACACACACCAAACTCACATCAAACATACCCTCCTCATCATTCGTTTCAAAACGTCTTCGTGTGGCCACACATGTCGCCATCTTACAACGCTGCAGTGGCAACAATTTCAATTCTCCAATATGAGCGTGCTAATTTGGCCTCCACAGTTGCTCGTGGTGGTGCATGACCTTTAGGAACCCACTGATCCCACACCTTATTCATGCCATCAAAATCAGACATGGACGCAAGAAAGATTTGAACCATCAATAGTTTGGTCTTATCGGTTCCTGCTTCCTTCAATCGTTGATCCAATGCTGCAAGTACTTCCTCAGTTTGACCTTCAATATCCTTCTTTCCATCATCATCGGGAACTTGTCCACTAATGTAGAGAACGTTGCCATAGACAGCACTTTCACTATAACGATTACCAACATGAAAACGAGTGATTCTTGTTGTGTCGGATTCGGTGTTTGAAATTAATTCATTCTTTTCTGACTCAGAGAGTGATGATGATGATGACGGCACTGAACATACAGCTTGTAATTGAACTAACACTTGATCTTGTAATCCTCCTCCAAAAGAGGTTTGCAATTTACAAGATGGTAAATGATAATTAAATTCTTTCATCAAGATGGATAAACATTTCGAGTAATCTTCCTCGTTCCGAATCGTTACACTCACGTGCTCAATCCATGAAATGGTAAAATTGGGAATTTTGTGTTGGAAAGCCTTCACAATGCTATGAAAGGCTTGCTTGGTTTGTTGAGAAACATCATCAGAAAGTAGCAATTGATTGTTTGAATTTATTCCATCAAATCCCGATGTATTAGGAATGAGGTATTTCTTTTGTTGAGATGATGATGAAGAAGGAATTTCAATGACTTGAATTTTAGAGTAAAAAGACTCGGAACTTTGCATTTTTCTTTGAATTGCATTCATCCACGTTTGCGTCTTTCATGAGTGGAAAACAGATCGTGTTGGAAATACAAGCTCCTATGAGACAGTCTTAGCGAGTCAATTGTAAACAACAGAGGTCAATATCTCACAACGACAAGAATGTGAAAACCCTCACTCTTTTGTTCATAAGGAATCATGTTCATTACAGCAATCATTAACAATTCATGCATGGAACAAGTAAGGTAAACACCATCAATTTACAGAAGCGCTATTCTTTTTTTCAGATCACATGATTGACACATGACGCGAATTATTCCCACTCCATAAAAATTGCTCAACCATTCTCCCTACTGGACTCTTGTTCTGATCATCTCAACAACACACACCGTCCAGAAAAACAACAAGTGAATCAATCAACACCCTTCCACTCGCTGCAACAACAACAACGAGTTCTTTCATCATTTGCCAACAACAATATAACAACCAATCCATATAACAGCCATTCATTACGACAACACCAAAATGTCCACTCGTTCCTCCAATTCTAACTCATCATCTGGTACCGCAAGACCCAAAATCGGAGTCAAAGACGAAGACTTTTATCCAACTTCTCAATGGAACGCTTTCAAACAAACATTTTCATCACTCGCCAAAGCAGCCACGAAAAAGAAGAAGAACAAGTCGGGAACTTTGACAGCCAAATCAGCATCGGCTCTCTCGAAAGCCTCTTCTGGAAATAGAGCTTCATTGCCGCACGCGTTACAGGCTCATCATCAGCCATCTTCATCATCATCATCATTGGAACAACAACAAGAAGAATATTCCACTCCTACAACTCCACTCACAGCAAATGCTTCTGTGGTGGGTGGACATTATTACACTCAAAGTGTTTCAACAGGTAATTTAGAAGGAACTTTTCATCGAAATTTATCCATCTCGAGTATTGATGAAGAAGTCTTGTCGTCAACAACAACGACTTCAGGAGGAAATTCCACACCACGAGGTACTGGTGTATTGACAGGTACTAGTCAGAATAATAATGGAGGAGGTGTCACCTTGTCAGTGGCGCCATATGATAATAATGATGTCTTGTCGAGCACGTCTTCATCGAGTGAGAGTGGAGTGGTCATGTTGGAAAGTCCAGCTGGATCACAAAAATCCGAATTGCAAGTCATTTTGAATTCAGCAAATTCTACAACGGTATGTTTTTTGTCTGTTTCACAATGAATTATTGATCTTGGATGTTTTCATTCTAAAACACATTGATGTTGTCTGTTTTCATTCTTGTGATCCTGGACCAATTTCATACAACACACAACACACGCATCATCATCATCGACAAATAATAATTTTCGTGCATTGTGATGAATGATTTTCATGGATCACAACATGTCAACTGTATTACCGGCACACAACCATGACGTGACATTTCACACAGAGCTTTGAAGATTCTCCAACAGTTGCTTCAATCACACCTTCCTTTGTGTCGAATGGAGAGAATGATGCTGCTGCAGCCACTCCAGCCACAACCGAAGACATGTATCAAGATAATGAACCAGCCAACACAGCAGAAGACTCCATGTTTGCCAGTATCACGGAATTGAATCAAATCAAACCTGCCATGATGTATCACTATGTTTTATACAAATTTGTGAAAAATCCTGAATATGACGATCACACGAGTTCTGATAAATTTGAAGAATTTGTCACACAATACAGCGAGATGTGTGCCAAAGCAAAAAGTGAAGCCACAGAAGGAATGCAAGAATTTTATTCATGGACAGACAAGGAAATTAGAAAATTGAGAGATAAGGAAAAACCTCGATCGTTCCTCATCCATCAAGCTGCCAAATATGATCGATCTTCCTTAATTTTCGTTCTAGTTTCAAAATACAAGTGTAATATAGCTGCTCCTGATGAATTTGAATCGTCACCACTTCATTGGGCTTGCAGTCACAGAGCCGCTGAGGCCATCACAATTCTTTGTCAATTGAAAGCCAAAATCAATGTTCGAGACAAGTATGGAAAGAGTCCTTTACAATTATTAATTACAAGAGCTTGTCAAGATGAAGAAATTGGAGATTTAGAAAGCGCAAGAAAATGTTTCAAAGCAGCAAAGGCCATGTGTAGCATGTTTGAAGGCGATTACAATTTCAAAACAAGCGATTCGAGCACTGTTTTACATATTGCTTGTGAATTTGGCCGAATTGAGACTGTGAAATTCCTAGTGAGTGAATCTGCTGAGGCCTCCAACTCGAGTTCTGGCATGGCATCCTCGTCACAAACAGGAAATAAGGTCCTATTGAACGCAAAGGACAAATTCGGAAGAACTCCAATCATGAGAGCTGCTGCCAATGGACATTTAAATATTGTCGAATATATTCTATTGAATACCAATCCGGCAGTAGTATTTGGACCAACTTCAAGAGATGACAAGAAACAAAACATTCTTCATCATGCTGCCGTTCAAGGAACTGATGCTCTCATTAACAGACTTGCCTTTTTAAATCCAAGTGCTTGTGCCTCCATGATGAAAGAACAAGATGCTCTCGGAAATACTCCACTCCACTTGGCCGTGCAAAATTCAAATGTGAAAACAGTGAATTTATTAATGACACTTCTTCATAAGGATAGTATGAATGTTCAAAACGAGAAGGGTGAAACACCTCTCCATTTAGCTTGTAAACTCAAAGAAAAGAATATTGCAGAGAAATTATGTGGTTATCTATATCAGAGCGGAGCCAATCCATCAACGAAAGATAAGACTGGACAAACTCCAAAACAATTGGCCACTGAAAATGATTTACAAGTAAGCTTTGTGAAGAAAAAGAAGTAAATTCGATTTTTGTGTTTGTTGAAAGTTGCGTAAAAAAAAATGAAAGTGGATGAGACCAGTAGCAACAATAACCGCTCATCAGCCATGAAGGAATCAACAACAAGAGATGATGAAGATGATGAACAACGATTGATTGGCATTCGTAACTCAATGAATAATTTGAAAACAACAGAAGTTCGGATTTGTCCATTTTGTTTGCAACAAATTTCTGTCCCGATGATGACTCACACCGAGAAATTACAGGATGATGATCATCTCCAAGATGAATTATCGGAACATGTTTCAATTTGTTTAAATTTATGGATCATTGAAAGAAGAAAATTATTTGATGAAAAGACAAATATGGAAAATATTCATTCCAACGAAATTGTTGCAGAAAGCACAAACAAAAGAAAGTTGGAATGTTGTTGGTCGAATGAAGAAGAAAGAAAATCAGTCATGAATCATCATGAAACTGCCACAAAAAAGAAGAAACAATCTTCAAATTTCATGATTGAGAATGAGAAAATTCCCATGGTTGACGCCGAACACAACAACGAAAAATCTATTACTAGATTGGACCATGTACTTGGTGATGACATGTTGTTTCAAATTCTGACATTTCTTGATCAGAGTTTCCTCGTTCACACTTGTATGAGAGTTTCCAAATATTGGTATGAACGAGTACTTTTCATTCCCATGACTTTGTCATTGTATGACCATCACAGTACGACTCTTTCAACATTGAAAATGATTACATCCCATCCAAATACATTCAATTTCACTGAACTCTCTATTTGCAACAAAGATACTGAAAAAGCAAGGGAAATCATCCAGTTAATTACAAGAAGTAACAAATTTAACAACATCAAGTCGTTAACTCTGGAAGATTTTGGTCTTGAGAAACAAGATATTTCTGAACTTGCTTCAGGATGTTTCAAATCATTGACAACATTATATTTACACGATGAATCCAAAACACTTGATTCAGATTGTGGTGATATGATTGTAAATTGTGTTCACATGAAAGAATTGCGTGAATTGAGCTTGTCTACGAATCATGGAGATGATATCATTCAATCACTTTGTAACAGTGAATACATCAAAAATCTCACTTATTTGGATTTATGTGATTGTAATGTGAGCAAGAAAGGAGTTACAATACTCGCTAAATGTGCATCAATGAGCACTTTAACCAATTTAAACTTGGGCAATAATGGAATTGGTGAAGAAGGTGTGAGTGCAATTGCAAACAGCTCCATTTTGAGAAATCTTGGTATTCTAACTCTCAACGAATGTCATATTAGGACCAATGAAGTTCGATCACTTGCTAAAAGTCCGTATTTAAAAAATATTACAACATTAGACCTTGACCAAAATGCTATTACTAACGATGGAGTATTCGATTTGTGTGAAAGCGATCTTTTGAGAAATGTCACAAATTTAAATCTTTCACTGAATGGTATTGGAGTTAATGGCATCTCGTTTATGACTTCCAAGATGTCAAACATCAATAATCTGACCATATTGCAACTTGATAACAATTCCATCACATCAGTTGGAGCAAAACTGATTGCTGAAAGCAACTTAATGCAACATTTGAAGGAATTATCTTTAATCAATTGTGAGATTGGTGATGAGGGAATGATTGCCATTTGTCAAAGCAATTTTATGAAAAACTTGACAACACTTTTTGTTGATAATAACAACATTTCAGAGAGAGGCATATCATCTCTAATATCAAGCCCTTTCTGTTGTACATTGCAAGAACTCTCATTGGAATATAACAAAATTAGATGTAAAGGAGCACGTTTATTATCAACAGCATCATTTCCCAATCTGATAACTCTTCAGATATCAAGTTGCAAAATTGGGAATGATGGACTTTGTTTTATTGCAAATAATTCATCATTTTCCCAACTCACCGATTTGGATGTTGGTTTCAATAAGATTTCCTCAGAGGGAATTCAAGCCATGTGCAACAGTCCACATTTGAAAAATTTAACCGTTTTGTCATTACCTTTTAATACTCTTTGCGATGATGATGTCATGTTAATTGGCAGAACTTTTCGAAATTTGGAGCATTTGAGCACAAGTGGATTGTCAACCGAGAAATTGGAAGCAATGTTATCAAAACTCCTACCGAAATGTGAGCTTATCAATTTCGACATTTAATGACCTCCATTGCAAAAACTGTTTCCGCATTGCTGAGCAATAATAATTTAATAAAATTAATAAATAAATTCAGTTCAATGCTTGAAAATATTTCTTGGATCAGCAAACACTCTCTTTGGATCAAATTCTCGTTTGGCAGCTACAAAATCTCTCCAAACACAATTTCCAAAATTGGCTTTCCAATCACTTCTTCTGAAATTGGGAATGACATTGTCAGCATACAAGGTGGCACGTGGTCGATCCAATTGGAACATGGTTGTCTTGGTAAATAAATCCCAAATTCTTCGATTGTCAAACACTTGATAATTAATTCCAGCATCGGTATTTGTGGGTTCATCTCTTCCAATAACTAATAAATAAGACCATTTCGAAGTTTTTGGAATGGACACAAATGGAACACTGTTGAATTGGGAATTCAATAATGGATATAATCCAACGTGTCCAAATCCAGTTGTTTTTTCTGGAGTCCAGTCAGCAATCAATCGATCGAAATCACTTTGTTGAGTTTGTGGATCTCTTTCAAAGACATCTCCAGCAAGATAAATATTCATCCATGGATGTCTTTCAAACCATTGTCCACTTGCAATTAAACCTGGAATGGTGAAATAGAATAAACGTTCATCCCAAATATTGGTTGGCATGTCATCGACTACTGACAAGTCAAAATTCTGACCTGTCAATGCTGCAATTTCTTCCATAGTTGGAGCAGTAGTATCAAATCGTGTGGTAATCTCTAACATGAAGACATAGGTTAAATTCTTTGCTAATAATGCCTCAACTTGAGCTTGTTCTTGAGGAGATCGATAAGTGGTTCTTCCATTCAATGCCCAAATTTGGATATAAAACAAAGTGTCTGGAACAAAGAAAGTTTGAATGGTTTGGACAACTTCGTTTTGAGAATTGGCAATTTGTAACTGATCGACAGCCTTCACCAAAACATCAAAGTCAGTGCTCACATAATGGTAAATTCTAGTCATTGCCTTATTTGGTTCTAAATTCAATCGAACACGAGAAATAATTCCAAATTGACCCATTCCACCCAAAACAGATTTGAAAAGAGTTGAGGAAGAGGTTACATTCACAACGTCACCATCACTTTTAACAATTTCCAATTCTGCGACATGAGCAGCTGCTGGACCTCTAAAATGTCAAATGCCAAAAATGTCCATTTCAATGTCATGATCAACACCATTTCATTATTTACATAAAATAATAAGTAGTGTATAACAAGTATATATGGTGATAATGATTCCATGACAACCTCTTTCAAACTTACCTAAAAACAGAATCAGCTCCAATTCCACCAATCGACAAGGATCCTCCCAAAGTAATTCCCAAATAATCTGGAACTACCAAAGGTCTTAAATTATGAGCAGCTGCAGCTCTGACCACAGACACCCATTGAGCTCCAGCAAGAGCCCAAATTGACTTTTGATTGGCAGCTGACACTTGAATGGTATCAGAAACTTGAGTGAAACGTGAACCCATATCAATGAGAATGTAGAGAGGAGGAACAGCTTGTTCATGATCGGCAATGTTAAGAACTTGAGCAGCTGCTTCGACATTGCCTCCAGCACCTTTTCAATTCCAAATTAGCAAGTGTGGATATAAAAGGAAAGATAACAGGAGATGATCATAATACCCAATTCAAAAACAAAAACACCACACGGAATCATTTCCAAACCGATAGGTCATTTTAAAAATTTATAATCATTATAAATATTGTCCAAAATATAATTGTAACGAACAATTACATCATCATCATCATGAACATACCTCTAATCACTACTTTAATTCTTGCAAACAATTCGTGATGTCTATAACTCGAATTCTCATCATCATCATCATCTTGAACTCCAAAATTATTGACTTTCACAGCTCTCATCAATTTTGACAATTGACTGACTTGAGTTGGAACGAACACGACAAGTGGCACATTGTGAAGAATGTGTCCATAATCTTCAGCGTACTTGTTTAATAATTCTTGTGGAGCTGGTGCTGGATTTGAAATTTGTAACACAGAATTTAAAAGGAATAAATCATCTCGTTCGGCCAATGTAAAGCTTGTCAACAATTTTTGAACCGTTCTCTTGTAAATGTTGGCAAGATTGGCATTTGGCACGGAACAAGGAACTGTAGTAAAGTTGGATGTGTACGGATCAAAGGCAGAGTATGGAACAAAATTGGGAGGAATGGCTTGCACGATCGTGAGACTCACGAACAACAACAAGGCCAACACCACACCAACGGCAGTGGGATTGCGTGGACCTGCCATCTGTCAGTGAGCGTGTGAATATTTTTTTTAAATGGGTTTGCGTTGTAACGGATCACAAGTCACTCGCACAACCAATACCCTATCCTTCCCTTGTAAGAAATTGAGATCAAAAAAGGTATGGGTACAAATATCACAAAAAGGTATAACATGAATATTTGTGTGAATAATTCATTAGAAAAAGAAGGAATGCATTTCATGCTCGCAGAACAACAATTTGGAAAGCATTTGCTCAGGTCATACGTTACAATTGTAAACCGAAAAGCTGGTTACAAACTTTCCTTGATCATGGATTGGTATTTGACGCGGAGGTTTGTGTCATGATTCAACAACTGCAAAACGAAACTCTTCCAATAATGATGAACAAATCGACGTCGTGTCTACAATTCTTTTGAAAATAATGCCAAAGCTCTCTCGAAATGATCTTCAATAAATGGTCGATCCTCCAATTGGACAGCACAAATAGTAAATTTTTCTTCACACACTTCTTGAGAATGTAATGTTTCTTTCACGACAAACCATCGTTGTTTTTCCATGTCCGAATCCGAATTGCTTTCAGAAAAATAATAATAATGATTCTTAAAGACAGTCAAGTGAATTAAATCTTTCACATTGGGATAGAGTTCAGAATCGAATTGACACAAGGCATCGAAGGCAATCTTGGCATCTTGTTCAGTATGGAAACAGAAAAAGAATGCATCAGATGCACATTGCATGGGTGGTACAAAGCAATGAGATTCTTCAAATAAATATGCATGTTCTTTCAGTAAATGCTTTTTCATCATGTTATACAAGACGTTCAATTGTTCATGTTCTGCAATTTCAATCATTTTTCGTGTGGAAAAGCCATGATTCAATTTTCCAAAAACTGGATGTCTAATTGTGTAGTGAAAATTATGGAAGAGCTCAAAAGTTGTCTCCTTATTGAGAAACTGTCTCCAAGTCATGTTGCTTTCAGGGCTAGCTCCGAAAATATCAGGATCTAAAGTTCTCAATGTGGAAAAGTTTGCCTTTGCCAAATCAATAAAACAAAAGAATTTTCCCTTGTAGTGCTCTTCACACACAGAACTCGAGTATGGTAAAATCTCAAACGATGGAGATGGTGTCAAGGTCTCATTGAAAATTCTCTTGTGAAGAATGGATCTCAATTCAAACTTGTCATTTTCATTGTCACTTTCTACTAAACATTTCAATTTTAACACGGATGGATGTAATTGCAAATTTTCCAAAATGTGTCCCTTAATGACTTCTTCAATTTTTCGAACAGCTCTCACATTTCCATGAAATTCATCTTTCAATAATTGATTAAACTTGTTATACAATGTTGGAATCTTTTTATCTCGATACCAAAAGAGCCATTGTTCCCAGGCCGTGTCATTCTCCAAATCGTGATCACTCATTTTCAAATTATGCAAACGTTTAAACATTTTACGTTTAGCAATTTCTGCTTCTCTGACATGAGCTTGATAATTTTCAGTTGCTGTCATTGGATCTTGTGTAGATGCATTGCGAATTCTCTCTTCTTCTTCCAACTGTCGTTGAATAATTTTTTTAAAACGAATCTCATTAGGTTCACGAGCTGCTTGTTGACTTGCCTTGACCGATTGATTTGTTGAAAATGGAATGTGAGAGAGATTCATAGTTTTGGGAAGAAGAATTAAATATTCACATCCTTCTTGACTGAAAATATCTTTCCAAAATAATTTTCCATTGAGAGGAATGGATTGAGATTCATCATTCTGTTGTGAATTCAACATTTTAGCCTTCTTCTTTTGATGGTTCGGAAATGATGCTGTTCCTATTTGAAGGCTACAATTTTTGCATTGAATGATCAAGTCTTTAGAAGAATGATTCTGGACAATTCTCAAATTTCCAAATTCCAAAGGAAATGATTGTTGCTGCAGTGGAGTGTCCTCATTCATGATTTGAATTGAAATAAACGGTCGATCCATTTGTTTAATTAGCATCACCGATTGTCTTTCCGAACCTTCCAATGATGAAATATTTAATACATTTCCACATTTTCCACACAATAACTCAATACTGGAATGATGAACATGATCGGCCTGAGTTGGAAATTTATATCCGATCATGGCCTTCATTGGATGTTGGTTTTCTCGTTCCAAATAGGTCAACAATTCGTCCACGTTGATTCCTTCAATAGTGGAGTGAAGCATTTTTTTTTTGTAATGAACGGACCATCCGAAGACGTTTTCTGAGGTTGCACTTGCAGTTTTACTCCTTTGAGAATCAGGTTCATTCTAGCAGTGATTAATATTGGTCCTTCAGTTCTCTCACTTTCTTTAATAAATCAACAGCAGCATTGGAAGTAGTGACGTCTTGCTCTCCTAAATATTCTGACATTTTACGGAAATAGTTGGACTTTTCTTGTGCTGAATTCAATTCACAATTTTCATCATCAATAGCTCTAAAGTAAGGATTCAATTCAAATTCTTCCCAAATGGTTGTTGGAACACAGAATTCTCCATTATTGCTCAAATTTTTGAATTTTTCCAAATATTGGGTGACAAGTGGCACATTAGAAATTCTGTCTACCAAAAATTGAACATTCTTTACAGTATATTCATGTCCACAACACAACAATGTTCGTTTTGCTTCATTCACGTCCGAAAATAATGATCGAATCAATTGAATATTTGAGTACATGTCTTGGGCTGAACCTTCAAAGAACTTTCCACATCCAGCTATTGTGGAATAATCACAAATTCATACAATCCACGTGAATAACACATTATGGTTCAACATCATTATAATACCGTTTCATGATCCAAATATAATTATATTTAAAATAAATATTGTTCAAATAGAAAACACTCATTTCATCGTCGATCTTACCTGCAAAGATGGTATCTCCACTGAAAACACAATTCCATTCATCTCCATTCTCCTTCTTATTCTGCAAAACATAACAGACATGTCCTTTCGTATGACATGGCGTATGATAGGCTTGAATTTGTGTTTGATCATCAAATAATTTAAATTCAAAGCCTTTTCTTTCTTCCGTTGGAATCACCTTATTTACTGCTTCCGATTCAGTACCTCCATAAATTTCAATCAATGGATCGATCTTTTGAAAATAGGAATTACCACCTGCATGATCATAATGTTTATGAGTACAGAGAATGGCAATCAGCTTTTTATCTTGAAATTGATTTTGGACATCGGAAAGGTATTGTTGAATCTTGGCTGGGTCAGCTGGATCTACCAATGCAAATTGTTTGGTACGATGATTGATCAATGCGTAGCAATAATTATCGGAGAAGAAGGGAAGTAATTGCAATGAGAGTATGGAATTGAGACGAATGGTTTTCGTTTTCAACATTTTTTTAGTTGTGAAAATCTTTTTTGCAATCCACAAAAAGGTGCATGAGAGATTAAATTTGTGCATCCTTTTGGATCATCGTTTAATGTCCGTCCTTAGCACGTAGGTCCTTCTCTAGCGCATCGTTTGGTGTGTCAACATGAATGACACTTAGTCAATTTGTTGTAGTGATGTTCGAAGTATATATTCCTCTAGTGGCATTCTATTAAACAAGTGGTCCATGAAATTGCGAGTCGAAGTCGTGTTGCTCGTAGCATCCTTGTGACCACTCACAATATTAAGCTTGAATGATTTTGGAATAAATTCAAAGGTTCGATACATGACTATTGGTTGCTGTTGCTGTGGTTGTGGTTGTTGTAACAACATACTATGTTGTAAATTTGGTGACGAATGAGAATGGTGGTTTAAACCAGAGTTGGAGAGGGCAATCTGTGTTAAATGATTCGATATCGGCTGAATTGTTGATGAATTGTTGTTGTGGCTCTTTTTTTCATGTTTGTGTTTTTGAAGTTGTGCCAAATACTCTTTCATGAGATTTAGAAATTCGAGTGGCATTACTTTTGCACGCAATACTCGAAGCCATTCCTCACGAGACCTCTCTGATTCTGCACAGCAGAAAAGCAATCGAATACCAGGAATGTATATTGCAAAAACGAACGGTGTTGGAAATTGTTCAGTGACAGGTGGGATTCCATCAATATCTTCTGATGCATTCTCTTGATCCGTGTTTTTGGTTGAACGTAATAAATTAATGAATTCTTGTTGTTGAGATTTTGTCCATACGTAATGGGCGTCTTCATCGCCGCTTCCTTCGAAATGTCGTTTTTCTTGAACTTTTACAGGTATAATTTTTGCATGACCATCATTGGTTAATTTGATTGAACCTTTGAGTTGATTTTCGTCTGGTCCATCATAATACAGTAAGGTGTTGTCATCTCTCAAAACGAAAAAGCGCTTCTTCCATGATTTTCTAAAGCGTCCTCTCTTGTATAAAAAACATCTTCTGTAGGAAGAGTTCAACAGCAATACATTTAACACAAAGCGTTCGGTGTTTTGTTGCATCTTGCAGTCGAATAGTTTGTAAAATGTATTGGTAACATTGACGACCATGGAATTTGATGATCCATATGAGAGGGAAAGTTGTGGAAGAGATTGTGAGTGTACATGAAGCTTATTGGTAACAGGTTCTTGATCTCTAATTTTCACAATGTGATGTAAATTCCAAAATAATTCACACTTCTTTTGAAGGAAAAAGTGGAAAATTTGAGTCTTGAAGAATTCTCGTAGAAATTGTGAGTCGACATGACCTCCAAAATTATCAGTACCAGATCCGTTTGGTTTGATCTTTGTGGAAGCGCGATAAGCTTGGTTAAAACTTCCACTATTATCCAAGCTCAAAAACTTTTCAATTGAAAATATTGCATTCATGTTCATGTCATCCTTTGGATTAAATGATTCGTACTGCACAAATAATTCATAACACGTCAATAATCGAACAAATACATTGATAAATATTTCACGAATAGGATGTGGACATTTGAGGGTGGTTGAATGTTTTTCAAATAGGGATCTTTTACGAATGGTCTGAGGTGAAGGGGTAGAATTAGATGCAGTACTGGTTGTTGAGCTAGACGATGACATTGGACTATTGGTGACACCTGGGGAGGATACTTGAAACGATGTAGTAGAAGTTGGAGAAGCAGAGGAGTCTTCCTTAGAGCCTGTTTCGATGAAGGCTTGATTTTGTTTGACCGCTGATGATCTCTTTCTGGTTCCAGATTGCAACGACGGTGACGCTGCACTTGTTTTCGTGGTGACACCATGGTTCGACTCGGATGTTGAGTTCTGAGTCGTGGTTTTCGTGCTATGAGGAGACTTGGGAGCCTGTAGAGGATCATTGCCAGTGACTTCTTCCTCTTCTTGCTCCTTATTTGTAAGATTTTTCAACATGACCATTTTCGCAAGTGTCTCACTCGATCTTTTCTTTCGCATGAGTAGACTGTCCTTTCTGCTGATTTGTGAAACAGTGCCTTGTAGAGGTTTGTTTTCAATCTTGGGGCTATATTTCAAAATTGTTGACATGTAATCTTTTTCACTCCTCTCAATGTCTTTTCTACTCTTTTCCAAACTGTCTTTAATGTAACTGATGAGTGTCTGAGACCATTTCCAATTTCTGCTAGAATTTGAAACTAAATTTGGTTCCTCTCCAACAAATTGAATTCGATCATCGTCAAGATTCACAATGCATACTCCTTCTGGAATGTTGATCATTTCGTAATCAGAACTATTTGCAACATTGTTGGCCTTGGTCTCATTCATTGTAATAATACTAATCTTGTTCGAAGAAGATGAGTTGGAGGAGGGTAACGTGTTGAATTGTGGACTAATGGTTCTTCGTAAAAACGATTGCTTTTCAAAGCCAATACGAAAATGATTCCACATGACTTCACTATGTGTACCAACCATGTATGGAAAAGGAGCCTCTAAGAAATTAATAATCTTCTCGTGAGCTATTGGTATGTAAATTGAGGTGAGTCTGAATGGGTAAATCAAGTGTCGTAAACTCTCCATAACCATGACCATTCTGAAAAGGTTCACACTATGGAAAATGATGGGCTTTTCAAGAGCTAAATAATTTACAATGGTAACAATGCAATCAATGTTGAGAGCATTGGTAAGAATGGAGAAGTCAAAATCGCATGTTGGAAATGATGGGAAATTCAGAACTGGAGTTGTGGAAGAAATTGGTTGCTTAAAAGGTGATTGTTGTGATACGTCTTCAGACGGTGAATTTGGGAAATATCCATTGCTTGCCGACAAATCTGATGAGCTGTCAAAATTATAGAGTCTACGTGAGAGAACAGTGCTATCCTCACCCAGAGTATCATCCTCAAAAACGCGCTCATTCTCAAAGAGTGAAGCTTCTTTAAAGTGTTCTTCTTTTGATCCAATAAATAAGAGCTTGTCAAACTCCACTTTAAAATCAGAAAAGGATGATGGCAGTTCGTTTGATGACGAAAATCCATTCTCTGTGTTATTGATGTCTGAAAGCGTTTTTGTTTTTTGAGAAAAATGTATAATCAATTTGTCATAAATGGCACAATTATTATCTTCGTTGTCGTCGGTTTTTGACGAGTTCTCAATTTGTTTTGGTAGCTGTTGTAGTTGTGTGCTGTTGAAAAAGTCATAAATATAATGTAGTAACTCTTCATCAAAAACATAATATCCTGCACCGTTGGGCTTTGCGAACCCTCCATTAATTTCAAACAAATATTGATCGAGATGTGAGAAAAACCGTAAAAAAGTAGAATGAAATGCAAATCGAGAAAGCATGCAAATGCATGAAGGGATTCGAATAAAAACTTCCACATTCTTCTCATTCTTGTCACCAACTTTCGTAATTCGGTATGTGAAAAATTTTGTAAAGCAAAATCCATAATATTTAAATCCTTGTGCGTCAGTGTTAATGAACGTGTGATAACTGCGTGCAGGTGGATGAAGCTTTGCGTTTTCGATGTAATTTTCGTAATCCATCTCTGCGTCCTCAGTATTCACATTGTCTTCATCAAAGCTATTATTGTCATCCTCGTTGACAATCGGTGAGAGTGCATTGCTGTCTGGATCACCTCCGATCATTTCCTCAGTAGCAAATATACTTTTCAAGAGTGGATGCTTCCTCACATCAATGCTCTCAGTAACAAATGGGAAATTCTCATCACTACTAGCTGCATTATGTTGCTGTGTTGCTTGTTTCGAAGCAGAATTATTCTTCTTCATGATGTTTCCAATAGAATCGCTTTTATCTACTCCTTCTGCTGCTTTACATGCAATCACTTGAACAATCATATCATTCGGAAATGTGAAAAATTGCAAGCTCAATGGAGTCAAATCTGAACCACCTAGAAATGAATCTTCTTGAACTGTGTTCATTATTTCTGTTTGCTTTTTTTGCTTTTTTTTTGATTTGGGATAACTGGTGATTAATGAAGCTTCACGTTTGAGATAAATGATTGCACATGATGAAGATGATTCAGTCTCGGAATGATTGGTAGTTAATGCATGATTATCACCAATTATTGGTGTAGTTATTGATGAATAATTTTGGATACTTTTCGGATCTACATTCGAGTTAGTTGAGGCTTCATTGGAAATTTGTGCTGATACTTCTGGAGATGTTGTTGTTGTTGTTGTAGATAACGGTGATTGGCTCATGACAAGTTTTTGAACACTCTCATCATATTTGGTTTTAATAATTTCATTCATTCCGTTCCGATCCAATGATAAGATACAAACATCTTCAATCATTCTCCTAAAACGGCTCACCATAAAATCACCACCGTTCAATACTTGTGAGGATCCATACGATCCAGGAGATGATGGTGAGGTTCCATGGGATGATGATGATGCATGTAATCCACCCGATATTGAAATAATTTCACTCGACATGTCGGATATATAGAAATCTCTCTTGATTAATTTCTCCTGAAAACCACACAATTCAACAAAATCCGTTGTGTGATGGTTCTGAATGTTGGAGGTTGATGAATCGTTAATCGTGATGGAATTTGAGCAAAGGTGAAATATTTTTTTTTTAATATTTGAAAATGGAAAGATTTTCAATCATCCATCATTTCATATGATTTTAAATTCTTTCTTTCTTTAAATTCTTCAGTGTGTCAAAAAAGATGAATCGTTCAGGACTCACAAATGAGTGACAGCAGTAGGTTCACTAAATTCTGTAGGGTCTGTTAACGATGAAATTTCATCTTCTGTGGCCAACCAACCATTTCTTCTCCGTCTTTTTCTTCGAATCACAACAACAACAATGATTGTAACAACAATGAAACCAACCATGACCCAACTTGCCAACAAGATTCCAGTAATGGACAGAGCCATCACAACCGTGAAATCAGTCACTTCCACTTTAAAGGAATAGTTCACATTTGTTTCCGGTGAAACTTGGTAGAAAATGGTAACTGGAAAATCCACGGAATTGAAATAACTAGTCGTGACGGTTCTGGATGAAGAGTAGAAGGAATCAAACCTTTCGGATGTCGTTGAGGACCATGACATGGTTGGATCTTGCGACCACTTGACTCTGCCATGTCCAGAATGGACATAAAATCGAATCGTGAGGATTTGCCATTCTGCTAACTCGATTCGGAATTGTTCTGAAACATTAGTGACCCTTGAGATGGTATCTCCATTGTGAAGTACTTGTTGTGCATGTGCACTCAGGATCATGCATAACAAGACTAGGATGACGTCCATGAGATTTAGAGTTGTCTGGCGAAAGCGCATCGGTAAGAGTGTTGGCATTTGTTTTCTTTGAGTTCATTTGCGGTATCGCATGGATATTCATCAGAGGCGCACCAAAATGTCTGAGAAAACGTTTTGAGGTTACAGGGCAGAAAGATCACTTTCTTATTTAGGATCAAGTGGAATGATTTATGAATCATTCTGTTATTATGTGCAAATGGAATAATTGTTCGTGCATGCATGGTTTTACTGATGGGAATTCTTATTGCCTCTTCGTTGAAATCTCAGTCCCGTTCACACAAAATTGCTTCTTCATCCTCTTTAATTTTTTTTTAAACATTTTTTTTCAAAATTTATTTTACAAAAAATGCCCGCAAAGCAAAAGCCTTCATCATCATCTTCATCCTCCACCTCTTCGGGAACGGCAAAGAAAGGAAGAGGAAAGGACCGAGTTCAACGTAAGAGTAGAGGAGAACTCACGGAAGAGGAACGATTACAAAAACTTGATGAATTATTGGGTCAAGCACAACCAGCCTCCGAAGAAATTGGAGAAAATTTTGATTGGGATGGATTAAAAAAGATTAAAAAAAAGAATAAGCAACATACACGAGCCAAGCACAAGATTGAAATTGGACCAAATATTTTCATATCGAGAAGACAAATTCTTACAATTTTGTTCATGTTGGAATTGGAAAGTCCGAGATTAAAGTCCATTCCTGCAACCAGAATTGCCAGATCATGTAAACACATTATTCGAGAGTCGCCCAAGTTTGATACTCCTATTGATAGTCGAACGAAGGAGGTAGCAACTATGCATGACTTGAAAATGTCAAGAGCTGCTTTGGATCGATTAACATTGTATGTGGAAAAGAAATTGGAAGATATCATGCGATGGGGATATGTCATGTCAATTTCGCAAAAGAAGAAAACATTGACATCCGCAAATGTGTTAACTGCTAGAGAGTTGATGAATGGACAATATAATCATAGTCAAGCTGTCAATTTCAATGATTTGAGAAGGAGGTATAATTGTCTTACAAGCGAACAGCAAGATTTGGAACAAAAATTGGAAGATGTTGGCCTCAGAAGCATCGATCAAATCTATTCCATTCTTGAGAATTGTGAACTCATCATACCTGGTCAAGATATGTATGTTCCATTTAAATTGGATATGGCCTTGCGTGAAGATGATGTCAAACAAAAGCTCACAGCCAAGGGTAAAGAATTTTTGGCCAAATTAAAGCAACAAAAAACAGAAACTACTGAAGAACAAGTCGAGGAGGATGACCAAGAAGATGAACAGCAAGAAATGAGTGATGAGGAAGAAGAATAGACAACTCATCAAATAAATGACGTTAGTTCCACAAACATCTTGCACTTCTTTCGTTGAATTTGCAATTTGGACATTTATTGTTTCTTAGTGAGACTTAAAAACACCTCTGACAACGTGTAACCTTTTTTTTCTTGCTTCTTTGCTTTCGATTGCTTGGTGCTGGCGAGAACAGGCCTTCCAAGCTCCTCCTCTTCCATCACTTCTTCCTCTTTTTCTTTTCGCATCCTTGATTGTTCTTTTCGTTTTCGAAGCTCTGCTTGTTGTGTTTTTTTGTCCTTATAATTGTACAGGTAGTCAAGACAAGCAGCTGCACCTTGTGCTAATATTTCATTATTCAACTCAAAAAGCCTGTAATACACGTCTCTCAATTGGTGACACTGCATGGCCTTCTTGATGTCATTCAACACTAAATACGATTCTTCTGCATATATAAAAGAGCGTTTTTTAGGAACTACTCCATGTCGTAAGGCGTCCTCAAAAAAGAACACACACCGTTCATAGGCTTGTTGTGAATAATAGTACGCACAAATAGTCAAATAAATTTCGCTTGTAAACGTAATTCCTTCCTTCTTCATTTCTGCAATAGTCATGTCAAACAATTTTTGTGCTGACATGTATTCTCTCTTATTTTGGGCATCCGAAGAATGTTCTTGGAGTTTCGAATTGAGCTTACATTCTGACAATTCCTTATACAGCAACAGTTGAAGATTGAAAAATCGAGCATAACGATTGTAGTGTGCAGGTTTCTCAGCCAAAAATAATGTTGAATTGCCTCTATCGGGAGTCAAGTCCAATTTCAATTGTTTTTCAAAGATACTTGATCTTGGAAGGTCATACTTGTAAAAAAGGTCGACAAGTTTTTTCGCATGAAGGTACTTGTTATTGGTCAAGTAAAACTCGAGTGAATCATTGACCATTTTGATGTAGGTGGAAATAAAATGGTGGTTACTCAGCCATTCTGATCTCTTCATGATTATTAATTTTTCTAGTGCATTCAAGTCATGGTTGTGAGCAAATGCCTCAAATGTCAATTTGAGTTTAAACATTTCAAGCATAAATAATTCTTGTAACAGCTCAGTACTGATATTGTCATCATGATTTGAATCCGTGCTTTGTGAGATTGATAATTTACCACTTTCATAACTTTCTTTGGCTATTTTCAGTGGGACGGATTGAGCTCGAAAAAATCCAGTTTCCAAGAGACTGTCCATTTTGTCCAACAGAGCTGGAATTGCGTCCAATTTTCCCTTATTAGCATAACATAAAATTAGAGCTCTATAGGTGTCAGGTGAAACATCGATGGATGGAATTTTCTCAAAAATTTTTTCAACAGTTTCAAGGGACATCTTTTTTGAAACAGGTAAACTCATGGCAATCGTCTCCAGGAAGATTGTATAAAATTGACCAGTTCTTGTGATTTCAGGATATTTTACAAAGTAATTTAGAATTGTGGAAAGATTCTGCCCTCGTTTGAATTGTTTGCGTAAATAATTTTCAATGTGCCATTTAGTTTCATAACACGGGAGCTTGTCGTTTTTTGCAATTTCATTCTCATAGTGTTTGATGGCTTTCATAAATTCCACGTTTTTTAGAGTAGTTTCTTCCGCAGAGTTTTCGGAAGTAGCATTTGAGAGACCTTTTGTTTGTTGAGAGATCTGTGTAGTAGTTGTCGTTATAGTATTCTTTTGAGAGACTAACTTGTTTCCAAATTTTTCTCGCAATCGATCACGCACTGATTCTAAGTGTTGTCGAGCTTCAGAAGTTTGATTAGGACTGCTTTCAGTGTGGCCAATGGTATGGTCACGTTCCGATGTTTTATGTTTTTTTTGAATAATTGTATCCACCATAAAGTCTCTCAAATTAGCACTTGATGAAGGATCTCGTAAAAGTTGAATTGTATTCACTGAATAGTCGAGAATATTCGTATCAATATTTTCATCATGATCGCCCAATTTCATAAATTTGTTATTTTCGGAAGTAGTGGTAGTAGTGGAGGATGAGCTTGCAAGATTGACTTCTCTGTCGTTGTTGTTATTACTAATACTTTCCACTCCACGGGGGCAACACGTATGAAAGCTCTTTGAATAATTGTATAAATGTTGATGATGGTACATGACTATGGACACCATCCTCATTGGCTTATTCATCCAATAGACTCTTGAAGAGAGTTGTGGGAAGAGAGTCTTCACCGTCCGAAGGCTTGTTGTGCCAGAGGCTGATGATGATGAAGCCTCGGCCACTGAAGTCATGATGATGGAACGCAGCATTTTTTTTTCCAAATTTAATCCTTTTTCAATTTTCAAATTTTCTCCTTTTAGAAGAATGGTAAAGCATTTCTCTCAATACTATCCAATATTATTTTTGAAGGAAATTTCAATTTTATAGAATACCTTTAATATTTACAAATAATATCTCACAAGAATGTTAAAGAAGGGTAAAAGTAATATCAGCAAGAGATGGTTCATGAAGTTTCAAACCAGCCGATGATAGGGCATGACCATGAAACCATCGCTCTTCATCATTCAAATAACACAATGCTTTGGTATGTTTGTAAAATTTCTATTTCCAAAATCGACCATCCATCATCGAAATTAAACAGTCGATTTAAAAAGTTCAATAATTTCATATTTTCAACATAAAGCCACCAAGTTCTCCATTACTTACATTCAAACATCTTCTCTTAGCTCGACTCTTCTCCAAATCAAATTCTCGAATGAATTGTGCCAGTTGAACATGCCCTGCTTTCATTGCTGCTTTTTCTGGAGTCACAAACACACGTTGTCTCACTACTCCACAATAATAAGAGACCATGACAACGTCATCACTGAAGAGACTTTCATGATGAGGAGAAGCTCCCTTCTCCAACAAGACTCGAACGACTTGAATGTGACCTTTAAGTGCCGCAATAAATAAGGGTGTTCTTCTCTATATCATCATCATGTTCATTCATCATATCACACATCGTGTTCATTATAAAGAATCATGTCATTCATTATCAACCAATTTTCAAATATTTTCATTCAATATGTTTGAAATCGTTAGAAATTGACATCAATATAATTATTGAAAACCTTTCAAACACACACTCATTGTACTTACACCTGGAGGACTCTCACTATCGATTTGACATCCCATTTCAATGAGCCACTGCACCACGTGAGGATAACCACTCGCACTTGCCACTGCCAACACTTTCATTCCTCCATTGGGGCACGTCGTATTCAAGAGATCTCTCAATTTTCGTTCACATTGAGAAAATACTTCAAGACTATTGGAGGTTGTTCCTCCTTTCATAGAAACAGAAGAAACAACCGATTGAGAAGGATTGGAATTTTGAACTACTCTTGAAGGATGAGAGGATGTATTTCTGTAAGGATGTTGTTTTTGAGAATGATGATGACGATGATGAGGAACATTCTCATCGTATTGTCTTACTAATCCTTTCCACCATAACTCACACACGTATTCTTGTAAAAACCGTTCAATATGAGGCGAAGTATGGGGTGATTGAGGAAATTCCATCATCAAATATTCGCGTAATATTTGTTGAATTTGTAGAAATAATTCATGACTGTATCGGGAGTAAATTTCATTCCAATAGTTGCTCCATTGTTCTTGCTGTTGTTGTTGAAAAAAGGTTAAATGTTCATGATGATGATGATTGGTTGTTGGATCAGAATTGGCAGAAAGGAAAATGGATTCTGAGAGTAACGGAGGAGTTGGAGTTTGTTCAATCACATTGGCAATTTGTTGAATGTAATCAGAAAGAGAGAGTTTTGCACGGTTCGGACGAAATGCTTGCAAGGAAGAGAATGATGTGCTAGCAGGTGGGGAGTGGGATGCCATGAATTCGTCGTCTTTAGTGTGGTAGAGGAGGTGTTTGGCCAACGGTTGTAATTATTATTTGAAAAGTTTTGAAATCAAAACAATACAGAGCGCCAATTCGAGGAGGTGAAGGATGCTGTACTTGAATCTCAAAGGTACATTTCAAAGACGAAATTCTAATCTATCAAAAGTGAGAGATGTTTTTGTTGAAAATAAGGAAAGTGGATGACGCCCCCCAAAAAATATATTTTGCAATCCTTAGAAAAGATTTCAAATGATGTGAAATTTTGAGAGTTAAGTATTGTAAAGGATCACCTTTTGAACAAAAGATTTTAAAATACACCGTATCGCAGCAGTAAAGGTTTACAAAAAATCATCAAAAAAAAATGGCCCCTCATCAATTACATAAGGGTTCAAGGCTGGTGGTGCAAATGTTGATGGCCTTAATCATCACATTCATTTCAGCGCAAGCCTTTTCATCAGGATTTTACGCTGTGGTGGCGTCCTCTCAGAGAGGTTGTGTTTTGAACAGAGAGGGCGATTGTAGTGCAGTGTCGGATCGATCATCATTGGTGTTGTCGTATGATCCTAAGAATATGCCTCATGAGGTTTCTTCAAAGGAAGAATTGAATGCAAGGGGATGTGGTTCCATTCAAGGATATTATGCCAATCCACTATGTAAGGAGAAATGGTATCGAAAGCTGAAGTATCGAAAGGTGGTGTTGTCGCAAGGTGAGGCCCCATCTTCAAGCTCTAGTTCTGATTCGACGGCACCTCCCCTCAAGGCAAGCACAACAAACGAGGCTTCAGGACCCTCAGTTGTTGAGACAAGCGTCATCTCGACCAACTCGCTCAACAGAAAATACTCTTCTGATAGCGACAAGTCTGCTACCTCTCGTCCACTCGTGACATCTTTGAATTCTGTTTCGAACACTAAGGAGAGCCAAAAAGTGGAAACAACAATCAAACCTTCAAGAATCGAAAAGTCTGGCACAAAATCTTCATCAGCAAAAAGACCTTCCGTAGCTTCTTTGAACTCTGTAGGCTCATCCAATGTGTCGCAGCCCTCAACAAAGAAAGCAGCAAGTTCTTCCAGTGGATCTGATAGAGCAACAACTAAACATAGACCTACTGCTGCAAAACCTAAATCAAAAGGGCAGCCACTTTCAACGAACGAGTCAAGAAATGACAAGAAATCGAAAGTTTCAAACCAGGCAAATAAGACTGTTACGACATCTCGCACTGCACAATCAACAACTTCATCTGCAGTTTCATCACAAGCATCATCCTCTCGTCGATTGGTACAATCAGCAACCTCAGCTTCTGTTGCAAATGGTAACTCTACAGCATCGGTGATTCAAAAGAAAGCCAAACATAGCACGACACCTTCAATGACAACAACAACACCAGCTAAAACAACTGCATCAAAGAAATCCATCAAGGCTCCAGTCAAAACAACAAGTTCTCAAAGGAGCAAAAAGGTTCAACCAAAGAGCTTGACCGCTGTTGCCTCACCAACAGGATCTAAGTCATCAGAAACGGTGAAGAGCGCTCAATCAGCATCAACATCTCTGGTGAGAGCTTTGTCAAAGAAATCCTCTCAAACCAAACAGGACAAGGTTGCTAAGCGATCATCAGCCCAAAGTGCATCCGTGAATAAGGCATCACCAAAGAAGTCCAAGCCTCAACCAAGCAAAAAAGCGGCCAATAACTCCTCAAGTATTACGAAGAAGAGTCATACTACTACCACCACTAAAGATAACAAGAAATCACCAACAATGAAACCTAAAGCATCGTCAAAACCTAACGCTTCTTCTCCAGTGGCCGTCTCAACTAAGACATCCGCTAGCTCACAAGCAAGCCAGGCAGGTTCCTCAAATGCTCACTCGACACCTGTCAACGCACCAGTTGATGCTACTCAGACGCCCATCGTCTCTAACGCTGTCTCATCACAATCCATGATGACCAACATGATATCAGGTAACGACTTCAAACCAATATCTGTCAACTCGGTCAGCACTGTAGCAGCTGACTCAAGCATCAACACAGAGTCCACTCAAACAAGTGGAAACAACGTTGTCAATACACCTGTGTCAACAACACCAACAGCATCTCCAAGCTCTGAAGCTGTTTCCTCTCAGACACCAACAGCATCTCCAAGCGTACCTGTTTCAACTAATGCACCAAACACAGCTGGAACGACCAACACTGCTGAACCATTGAAATCGAACTCAAATGAACCAAAGACTCAAATTGAAAAGCCACGAAACGTCCCAGTCGTGGGAAGATTTTACGGAGTTAAATCTTCAGGAAGAAATAACAGACGTCCAAGCAGCTCTGTTGGAACACTTGATTTGAAGGATCTTTTGTCTCAAATTAAACGAGTAGACAAGAAGAAGAAACACAAACCACATCGTCGTGTCAAGAAACATTCTTCCAAATGCACCAAGCCAGCTCCGGTGTCGCAAAATCCACCCCAATCGACTCAAATGATCAACAACATTCAAAATATTCAACCTTCGCCAATGTTCATGTATCCCTTACCTCAATACCCAGATCCATCTCGATACAATGATCATGAAAGATCATCGATTCGATCCTTCTTGAGAGAGAGATTTTTGGAATACTTACAAAACCGAAATCAGAATACCTTAAAGAGCTCGGAGAATCAAGTTAATGTGGTGGACCAAATCAAGGCACTTATTGCAACAATCCCTCAACAGCATGCAGAAACAGGCTTGTCAGCACAAACCATCAGCAGCTCTGCTCAAGTTGACCGCAAAGCATTGGCTCAAGCCGTCAAACGAATGGGCACTGCAACCAAAAATCTGAAGAAGGCTCAAACAAATGAAGATCGTGTTTTGAAGGCAGTAGAAAAGGCCAAGAAAGCTCTCAATCATGCAAAGAAAAATTCGGCAGACAAGCAGCGATTCCTTGAAAAGACCACCACCAAGCAAACTGATCTTGTGGACAAGATGAAGGTAGAAAAGGATATTATTCTTAAACTGAACGATTACTTGAAGAAGCAACAGAAATAAATAGATTTCCTGAGAGTTGTTACTGTATTGTGAAATGGTTCATTTCGCTCGTTTGGTTCTTCTGTTTTGGCTAACGGCAAATTAGCAAAATTTAATAAATATGACCAACGTGGTCGTCTATTTACAACATTGAGAAGAGGATGCCGAAGTAGATGTGGCCGGCCTTTTGTGATGTGACGTATCAAGTGAAACCTTGCATGATCCCAAAGGTTCATCATTCACCTGCGGCAACGGCACATGATCGTCATTATCCAAACGCATACCATTCTTTGAAGGAGGTGGAGCTTGCTTTCTTGTCTTGTAAATATTTTGAAGAAGCAAGGAAAATGCTTCTTCCACATTGGTTGCATCAAGGGCAGAGGTTTCCATAAACATGACATTCTTCTTCTCTGCAAAATTTCTGCCTTCTTCTACTGTCACTTGTCTGTGATGCGACAAGTCACACTTATTTCCAACAATGATATGAATACAACCCTCTTCACCTTGTTTGCCAATTTCAGTAAACCATTTTTCTAAATGGTCAAATGTCTCACGATTTGTAATATCATAAACAATCAATGCTCCGTGGGATCCTCTGTTTTGGGGTTGTGTACGAACAATTCATTTGGATCAAAATTCACAAGTGTGTGGAAGGAAGGAAATTTTGAAGAAATGTGACAACAGAGTTAAACAATTCCCAAAAAACATTGTAATATTGTGCATCCCAATATTTTCCAAATTGTGTACATGTGTAAATTCGCCATTACTAGTGCCTCGTACATACCTATAATAAGCAGCAGAAACTGCTTGAAAACGTTCTTGACCAGCTCTATAATTTTGTTGGAATATTTCAACAAAATAGGCATGAATCGAGTGTGTCAATAAAATTAGTCGTACGTCAATGATCATCATCCAATAGTATAATTAAATTAAATACATGACAACGATATTTTCATATGAGAGATTTTTTACGTCACTTACGTGTCCCAAATTTGGCCTCTTATCCGTGCTCCGTCATAGGTAATTGCTTTTGCAGCAAATTCTACACCAATGGTTGGTTTTGGTTGCAAATTGAAACTATTTTTCGTAAATCTTGTGATGAGATTACTTTTTCCAACACCCGAATCTCCAATCACAACAACTAATCACAAAGATCAATATTGATAATCCCATGACAATAAAATCTCAATATGATCATTGATTGCTTACCCTTGTACAAGAAATCACAATCCGACATGTATTAATGTAGAAATTATTTTTCAGATCTGATGGATCTGCAATGATTATAAATTTAAAATTGAAAATATCAATATATAGGGCTGTGTAACTGTTTCGCAAAAACAAAGCCTTTTCTCTCTACAAAATGCAAAACTCTACAACAATCGGTTTCTCCTCTCGATACGAATTAGATGGATCAACCCGTGTTCCTTTTTTCAGTGATGATGATGATGAAATCCTCCAAACGAATCACGCGATTATATATATATTTAATAAAATCAACTCTGCCGCTCTGATGATGAACCGTTTGATATTTTTTTTCTATATTCCAAAAACAATCACGAGACCAAATAAAGAGCACTGAGCGTGTTTCAGTAACGATCCCATGACACATCATAACAACATGATATCTATTCACTCAAAAAAACAATTCTTTTAATTTTGAGTAATGTTAAAGAATGCACGAGATTCAGCCAAAATTCTGCTGTGTGGATGCTTGCTACCACATTCTCCTTCACAGGCAGCAACGAAAAATTCATATTTACCTGGGAACCAAACGACTTGGTTTTGTTCATCATCTTGAGCTTGAATTTGAACTTGAATGTCATAGTTGCCTGGAGCGAAACCTTGTCCCTTCAATTCACCTCCTGCAATGTCAGCAGTGACTGGACCATCGACTTCAAAGTACAATTCTGTAACAATGTGTATATTATACACAACAACAACAATATTGAAACAAAATTCATGACCATCATCAAAATTCATGAGTGTCATTTAAAAGAGATGGATGGATTGTGAACCGAAAAAGCAAGTTTTGAAAATCAACAACAACAACAACATGTTAAAATTCACACACACACACACATGAAACAATTGAAATATTACATACCACCAGTACCAGTTTGATTGTAAATTCTCAATTGAGAGACAGCATTAAAAGTAGTTCCCTTTGGAGCAATGGCTGGAACAACACGAGTGTTAAAGAATTGAGCACAGACTGGAGCTTTGCAATCACGAATTGGACACAAGGAAACCAATTGGCATCCATAAATAGCATCCAAATCAGCATTCTCGATCATGTTAATGAACTCATTCACACCCAAATAATCACACACCAAATTACATGCAACAACAGTCAAAGAACCCAAGTTGGACAAGTATTTGCAAATGTCTCCACATCCACCAATCACACCAACATTCAAAATAATATTCACCAAATTATTGATGGTCTGATCCAACAAGTTGATGCACAAATCGCACAATTCATAACTGTTCTTGGCAGTTGCAAGGCGGGAAAGAGTGGCAGGTGAGGCTTGTTGTTGTTGTTGTTCCTTGATGGTGAGCTTGAGGAGTTTGTTGAAGAGAGCAGGTGAGGTTCTCAAACGAGCCTTGAGTTCATGTTTGAGTTGATCGGCCATCGTGGTTGGGTTGCTTTGGATGATACCAGCTCCCATGACGAGCATGGTGGCGTAGAGCGAGAAGAGAACGCTGAAGAGAGCGAGGGTGGAAAGTTTGATCATGTTTTGTGTTTTTTTTGTGGTGATCGCTGCGGTGTGAAAGGATTACAATCTTCGTAAAGTGGAACGATTGGACGAATCGGAGATTTCTGTTCCACAACAACTTCTCGAGAAAGAATTAAAAACAACAGTGTTTATTCATCGTCATGTGTACACATGTCACAATGCACGTTAGAAGCAACAGAGGAAAACAGTAATATGTACAACTACAAGAGAGAGAGGAGAAAAAGGAAAATCTCCAATAACCTTAAAGGATATTGAGGGAGGTCAAGCTATGCATGAAAATGTCGTGTTACGAGTCGCACTCATGCATTCAAATTATTGTTGATTTGGAACAAGACCAGAAGAGGAGCCGACCATGTTGTTTGTGGTGTTTCCAACAGGAACGCCAACACCTCCTACCATGGCAGTACTGCTTCCAACAACGCCACCTTGTTGCTCTTCGGCCTTCTTCTTGTCCAAAATTACCCAATCATATTCATAGTCCATGACAAACTTTTGACGAACAAACAAATCACGGAACAATTTTCTCAAGTATTGATAATCAGGTTTGTCTTCAAATCCGAGGGAACGAGCATAATTGAGATAGGTGGCAAATTCAGGTGGATAACCTTCACACAAAGTCTTGATACCAGTACTGGTTTTCTTCTCGCAAATTCTGTTATACTTTTCGAGTTTTGTTCTTGCTTTCAATCCTTGCCATGGCAATGATCCACGATTGAAATACATAAAGACATATCCCAAAGATTCTAAATCATCTCTTCTCGATTGTTCAATACCTAAATGGTTATTTATACTGGCATAACGAGCTGTTCCAGTCAAATGCTTGTTATCACGATATGGAATGTGTACGTGCTTAGAATCTCTGTACTTTTTAGCCAAACCATAGTCAATGAGATAGACAATTTCTGACTTCTTTGGTGGACCCATTAAAAAGTTATCAGGTTTGATATCACGATGAATAAAGTTCTTGGAGTGTAAATACTCGACACGTTTCAACATTTGGTCAGCAAGCATGAGTACAGTTTTCAAACTAAATTTGCGGCCACAACGATTGAATAATTCTTCGAGAGAGGTTCCGAGGAGATCCATGACCATCACGTTGAAATCTCCTTCGATACCATACCATTTCACCTTGGGAATACCCACCGCTTCCTCATCGAGATATTGTGCAACGTCGAATATTGTATTTTTGTAGGTATGACAAGTCATTGCAAGTTTTCAAAGAATTAGGTAATTCAAATTTTCGTTCCATGGACAAGTTATCAATTTTAAAGTAGACCGTTAGAGGATGTCATGGAAATAGTTTTTGAAATGACACGAGAGGTTGTTGTAAGTGTAGTCATGGTTCAAAGAGACCACGAGTTGATGTGTTGTGCATACACAAAATCATAGTTCATCATCGGCCACAGATCATCATTGTATAAAATTAGAATTACACCAAAACGTAATTGTGATGATGATGGTTCAGAACCACACCATGATGATCACGAATATGATACGAATGTAATACAATAAATCAGGTTACAAAAACACAACGGGACAGGTGTTGGGCTCGTAATCAAACATCAAAAAGATATGAAACAAACCTTTCTTTGAGAGATTCAAAAGTTTAAGTAAACGAGCCTCATAGAGAAGTTGTGGATGTTTGGCCTTTCGGTGTTCCAATTTAACGGCAACCTTCTCCAGAGTTTGCTTGTTGGTAGCAATGAAAATTTCACCAAAAGCACCACTTCCAATCTTTTTACCTAGAACGTATTTCTCTCCAACTCTGTGTTCGATAGACATTTGTGTAGGGGATATTGTTGTTGTTTGGTGGGTGTTGTTTTTAAAAAAGTCTTCTTTCTCTCCGTGATGATGGATGATAAAATTTGTTTGGCTGTGATGACGAGATTTGATTCAGACAGCCTTGGATCGTATCGATACGGAATCAACAAGAGAACACGCGTCTACAGCGATTAACGTATTTTTTGTAGGTTTTTTTTGAGCGCGTTTCCATTTCCATGTTCCTCTTTCCAAATACTGATGCGTTTGTTGTCATAATGAGACTTGTATTAAGGGAAAAGCATTGACAAACTTCGACATTGAAATCATTGATTCCTTAGGGGAGTAGTTTCGATCTATATTGTTAAAAAAGTATGTTGAATTATCATTCAGTTTGTATTGGTCGTCGACGAGAAAAAAAATGACTTCACCAGAAGAAGACGACTTCTTCAACCCGTCCTTGCTAAAAGCAGGCGGGGCAGGTTCTTTTGATGAGTTTGATGATCGTTTGGCGAATAAATTATCTATCAGTGAATACGATGATGATAAGAATGATGAAACATTTGGCAACGATATTGATGTGGTTGATGATGGATTTTTTGCGTCCTCCCATCATCAAGATTTATTGCTTGGAAATAACCATCATCACCAGCAACACCCAAAATCAATCCATATGGATAATACTACTACTGCAATTAATAACCCATTGAATAGTGGCTCACAAACATGGAAACAAAAGGGAGTATCGGCCAACAACAACAACACTGCAGCTAATACTGTTATTAATACGACTCCCTCCAATCAAACCAGCAGTGGTAGAATGGGCTTTTTTAGTACTTCTACACCATCACCAACATCCATTCCGTTCGGACATTCACCTTCTTCACCTTCAAATTATATTCCAGGCGGAGGAAGTAGTGGTTTATCATTTGTTGGCTCCTCCTCAGCATCATCGGCACACCACCATCCTGTATCTTCTGTTGGCCATGCTGGTGCATTTACCAATATGGGAACATCAGTGAGTCATCACTCGGCTTTTTCAACAGGTACTTCACCTGGTTTGCATTCTACACCAGGTCTATTTGGTACCACCACAACTTCAAGTCATCCACCTTCTGCAAGTCCAACCTCAACAACATCACCTGGAATATTATCAAGTATTTTTGGAGGAGCAGCTGGAAGTAGCAGTGGTAGTATTCATAACATTCAGCATCACACTCGTCAAGGTAGCAGTGGAAGCACAGGTGGTATTATTGCACCTCAACAATCTCCAAGAAATCAGCAAGTCGTCGGAGAAGACGCTTTTCTTGGCCCATTCTTTGGAGGTACTGGTAGTGGTAGCGCAGGAGTATCAGTACACCATCACCATCATCATCACACAAGCTCAGCATCAAGCATTGGCTCGTCATCGGGAAAGCAGGCAAACTCGGGACTACACTTTATTAATGACTTAATTTCAGAGGAGGACGAAGACATGGAAAGCATTTCAAGTAGTAATCGGTCAAATCCTCACATTTCAAGTGGTAATAACTCTCCTTTTGGAATTCCTTTAGGAGACAACTTGCCAAACTCTCGAATTCCACTCACTGGCGGCTTGGAATCTCTTGAATTTTTACCTCTGACCATATGCCACAAACATCCTGAATTGGTAAAACCTCAACCTCAACAGCAGCAAAATACATCCACAACAACAAGTACTGGCTCGTCAACGGCTACAACTCTTGTTGATAACAAGACAACCAGTAACAATGCTTCCACTCAACAACACACAACACCATCCTATCTATTGGTAAAATATAACACATACAACACCGAGAATAAGGAAGACTGTTACAATGTTATCAATAAGACTGTCATTAATGAGGTTTTAAACAAAATTCCTACTCCACAAGAGCACAAATATAGATATAATCGCTACAACAGCAACAGTAATAGATCCACAGATAAACCTCACAGAATTATTCAATTTATGAGAATTGATGAAGTTGAAAGCATTGTGCGACAACAAATGGTGGATCTTCAGGTCAATAATGGATACGAAGATGATTATTACTACTTTATTCACAACAACAAGACTGAGGAAAACACCGACCTTGTTTTGAAACATTTATTGGAGGAAGAGGAATCAAGAGAAAATTCTAAAAATGTACAAACAAATGCCAGTAACACTACTCCTGTTGCAAGATTATTTGGAAGAATTCCCTCTCAAAATGTTAGAACTCCAAGAACTTGCTTTGACACCAATGTCTTTCGTCAAGAACTCATTGAACAATATTTCAAACACAAAAGAATGCCCTCAGAGTTGCGCACAAGATTAATCTACAATAATTCTATACAATTGAGAACAAGCATTGAAAATGGTCTCACCCTTCTCATTGAAATTGAAGAGTTTTTGACCATTGCAAAGCAAGCAGGAGGAAAGGAAATTCCACAAAAGCTTTCGGAATCATTTAGACAAAATTGCCAAACTATTGCTGCCTACCTCCAATACCAACAAGAGATTTGGAATATTCCAAAGGGCAAAAAATTTATTTACAAAGCTCTTAAACATCTTCCAGAACCCTTCATCACCAAACTCATGATTGATATGATACCAATACTGAACCTTGAATACCATACCAACCCAACATTGCTGGAAGCCATGAATTTAGCATGCAAATCCATTATTAACATTGACGCCATCCCAATGATCCTAATGTCACTCATGTCAAGCCCAATTATTGCCATTGAATTTATAAGTACCTTGTTGAATAGAGCCATTACCATTCTCTCGAATGGCACGCAACAAGCAATGATGTCCGTCCACAGTTGGTATCAATTTTTCGTGCAATCCTTTGTTCCATATTTTTTGAACTGCTACTCACACTTGACACAATCCTCTCCTGATGCTACCTACAATCTTCTTTCATTAATTTTAAAGTTAATTCCAAAGAATTCTCCACAATTTATGTTCCTAGTAAGAACTCTTGCCGCTGACCTCAATTCTCAACACCCTCTAAGGACACAATTACTCCAACAATATGCTCAACCACTCTTCCACAACCAATAAATGTGCAAATTGATCTTTTCCACTTTAATTACTTTTTCAAATTTTAATGAAATGTACCGCTTATTTGTGACATTTACACAACATAGAGATCTCTTTGAGTTTAAAGCTTCAATAAATCCAAAACCAAATTAATGTTCTTTAAAAAGATCAAGATGAATTTATCACGTAAAGATCTTCTCGAGAAGTGCATCATGAGAATGGAAAGTAAATTGAAAACTGAAGAAAAGAGGCTTGTTTGGGTTTCAAGATCATGAAATCCACAAGAAGGCACCTTTCATGGTGGCAGTTAAGATCACATTCAAACCATCCAACCACCGAATTGACTCTCTCAAATTCAACACTGGAAGTTCAAGCCATTGATTTTTTTTATGGGCAACAATTAGCCAGGCCTCAGTTGAATTGGTTAGGACCTAATTTTCAAATTATAATCAACACGCCCGAAAACTCCCAGCATTTTGCTGAGTTCACATCAAGAGTCCGCAAGCAGGCCGATCGACCCAGGCTCCAGTAATTTGCATAAAAAAAACGTTCAATGACCTACTCGGAATCTCACTCTTTCAAAATTTGAGAGATACGTTTTAAAATAACAGCAGCAAGGCTCTGTTGGCCTTTGAGAATCTCGATGAACCTCTTCATCAAGGAGAAAGCTTACAACAGCACTCGTGTGAGATAGCAAGTGAGCGTGCTTAGAAAGCTTGGTTGAAAGAAATGGCCAACCGCTCAATACATGTGCTTCTCTAAAGAAAGCACTCGAGTGATCTCATCATTTCCAACACTAAATGGCAACTCAAATGCTCTCTACAAATTGTAGTAGGATATTGTTTTAATGTGTTGCAATTGTTGAAAGCCTCCTTTCATACAAGTATACAACGTAGAGCCGAATCATCTAACACGAGCTAAACCTCTAACTGGGATAACACCTTCTCATAGCATCTTGTGAGATGGGTGTGTTGTGCTGGCTCCTTTGGCAACTTCCCGTCATTCACCAATCAAACCGCCTGAATGCCCTGTGTTATTTTCAAACCCCATCCCGAATCCTAACTTTCATGGTGTGGCCAAAGGTGGTGTAATGATGCGATATCCTCTTGTATCGTGATGGACTCAAATTGAAAGATTTCTCCATTGAATTGAGACTAGCCTTGCCATCCTCAATAATTTCAGAACACTCACAAATCTCACCAGACACAAACTCTACAAGAATTCACAACGAACAACTGGAAGATTTGTCAAGGGGCGAATGCATAAACTTTTGCTTTCTCTGATGGCCTTATCACATTCGAAGGATAAGGTTGGAAGTTTCTTGTCTTGTTTTCATTCATTTTCGTTGAAATCACAACCACAGGATGGAAATTCAAACAACTACCTTCGCACCAGATCACACTCGCAAGGCCACAACTCAACTATTTCAAAGCTTGTTAACAAATTAAAAATGTGAACAGAGGGATAATTTACCCTCTTACCTGTCAACAATCACTCTCGCCGATTTTCTCAAATGCCAAATACGCCAGAACGGCAATAAATCCGCGCATACAGCTTGTCAATACCTCTTCGAGTTGCATCCACAACAATGGTTTTGTGCATTCGTTTCTCTATCTTGTGATGTTTGTGGGCTCAATAAAAGCGTGCTCCTTTACCTTGATTTCACACGTACTCTTTTCCAAAAGAATGTCAACACTTCTGTGGGTACCAACAACAACAAACCCTACCAAGTCCTCACATTGTGCTTCTCATTCGACGACGTCCATTGCTCCTCTTGTTGTTGCTGACCACCAAGATATTGATTGCATTCTTTCTGAAACAAGTACCACCTGTAGTAGCACGACATTGATTCCCATTATTACCAAGAACGACCACAATTTGAATAACCACATTGTTAACAACAACAAACACGACGATTCGTCATTCCCAGAATTATCGAGCCATTCTCTTGTTCATTCATTACTTGCCTTTCCATCAGTCGCTTCATTTACCATGAACCCAAAGGACGAAACCAGTATTGGAAATACAGTACTCTCAAGCAGTAACAAACGCATGATGGCTGTTACTGTTTCAACAACTCCAGGAGAACTTTCTCAGTCCATGATTGAAAAACAAAATGAAGGAACGACGAGTTGCCAGTCTCCCGCCATAACCCCAAAGTCTACCAACCTCTCCTCACTTTTGAATGTTGGATTAACAAATCCTCTTGAGGGCATGTTTGGTGATCATGAGGATGATTTGTTCTTTTCTACAATTGATTTGGACTCTATTTCTCCAGAATCCATCATGAATAATCATACGACGACTGTGCCATCGGCTCTTCCAATCGCTCATCATGAGGTTTCAGCTCAGGATCAACTCGCCTTGACTCAATACTTGGAAAGTGCTCTCCTTTCTCAACATCCTCCTTCCATGCAATTGGGTCTCTCTGCAAACAACAACAATCATCTGATACATGAAAGTAACCAACACTTATTACGAGGAGATTCTACCTTATTGAATTTTAATAATAACAACAACCTGATGATGATGATGACTAGTCCATCGATGGGTGGATTCATGATGAATCAACCATCATCATCCAACCTTACGAGTAGATCCGCTTCCCACATGTTTACTGCTGCTGCTGGATTATCCGCACAACTACAGCAAATGTATCCTACGAACATGCAACAACAAGCACCAATGGCTAATCGGTCATCCTTGTTGAGCGAGAGTCCATCGGGAAGTATGAGTAATCAGAGTCAGAGTATTCAACCACAGACACAACAACAGAATCCACTCATGACAATGCTTTCTTCTCTTTCCAGAGAACAGCATGTTGTTCATGTGTTGAATAGCCTTCTTCTTTCTAATAACAACTCAACTCCAACTAACTCACAACCACAGCAACAATCAACGATCATGAACACTTCCAATCCATCCTCATCCTTAATAACAAAACCACAAGTTGTTTCATCGGCACCATCCTCTTCACCACTCTCAACCTCTCTCCATCCTCCCACTCCACAAGAGATCCATAGTGTTTGTGCCGATATTGATGAAGCCTTGAAAGATTGTACTTCTTCGTTGGGTTTAATTTGGAGCAATTCAAATTCAAAGCAACAAATCAAGTTGAGGAATGCATTGGTAGTGACCACAACAACGCCAACAACCTTCTCATCATCATCATCGTCCTCTTCGGTCATGTCATCTCCTTGCTCTTCACCTCAAATTCATTCACCGCTGTTGGTTGCTACAGGCTTTATGAATCGATCGATCGGAGGTGCATCATCGAATTCTCCCTTGGCGACATCCATCAATACAACCATGACTTGTTCTGCTACTACAGTTCAAACTTCTCCTCAATCATTAGGAGCAATGGAGACTCAAAATACAGAAACCTCAAGTGTGACACCAGCTGCCAAATCCAAGACAAAGAGACAAAAGAAGGAAGGCGTCAAGAGAAAGAACAATGCACATCATGCACACGATCCAGCAGCAGACCAACATGAAGAAGATGACGCCAATACCTCAAACAAGAAGAAGAAAAAGACATCCACAAAACGGAACACAAAGAAAGGAAACACGGCCTCCAGTTCAGCTTCTTCATCCACAACAACAACCACCACTACGACGACGACCATTTCTCCTCTCGCTAGTGGCGCTGCAGAATATGTCTCATTTTCCATGCCCATGATTCAGGAGAATATCATGATGACTACGACAACGTCGAACGCCAATTTACCCCCTCCTCCGCCTAATACGACCGATCGAAGAAGAAAATACAGAGTGAGATTTGGTCCTAACATGTTTGATGAGATTAATTGCAAATCAAGTGCTACCTCTTCAAGAAAATACTACAGAATTGAAAAGAAGGAATAAGGAGGAGATGAATTGGTGACAATCTTGTGACACACGTATCATACATTGTGCAACAACAAAGCCCTAGGTTTTTATCATTTACAGACAAAAAATAATAAAAACACCAAAAACAATTGAAATATCTTGAAAGATCTTGTATTCATTGTTTTTCAATGTAATTCCAAAAACAATTAAAAAAAATGCAAGTCATCGCTGAGAACAATTTGAAGCCACTCATGATTGGAAATGTTAACAAAAAGCACCTAGTGTTAATGGGACCTCCTGGAGCAGGTAAGGATTCATACCAGAGATTTTCTGTTTCAAACTCAACATGGACAAATTGTATTCCGACAATAACAAATTTCATTCATGGATGACTTTTTAAACATAAAACGCTTTCCTCTCTGCCAACAACACAATTAATTTTTTAAAATTAGGAAAAACAACTACAAGGCATGTATTTCATACCTCGGATTTTTCCAAATTCATAACACCTATTAATCATATTTAACTTTTCACTTGTTTCACAAACAAAATCGATAGCAAAAAATTAGGAAATATTTTAGGAATGAAAGTTTTCGATATTGACGACGACTTGCTCGAAGTTGTGTGGCAAATGCCAGTCTCTCAAAAACTCGCTCTCGAAGGTGAAGAAGGATTTATTAAAGCTGAAGGAAAAGCTTGTGAAAATTTACGAATGGAAAATGAAAATCCCACAATTATTTCATTAAGCGGAAGTGTTCCTCTCTATCAACCTGCAATCGAAAACATTCGCAGACAAGGAGTCGTAATCTATTTAGACGTTCCTTCAACAATTATCGAACATCGATTGCATGAAATGAAAGTCGATCGAATTGTTGGAATGAAACCTGGTCAAACACTTGCCGATTTATTGGAATATCGAAAAACATTTTACGAACAATATTATGATGTACGTGTGACATGTTCGACCATGAATGGCTGTGCAGAATCTGTCGATCAAGTCGTCTCACGAATTATCCAAGCTTTCAATTTTTATCGAAACGAAAATGGCGAACAAGAATATACAAGTACGAGAGGAGAAGGAAAACTTCAAAACACTGGAAAATCATTGTGTGAAGTGATTACCAGAGGACTTGCCACTGATGGTGGTTTATATGTTCCAAAAACATTTCCCACATTCACTCTCAATGAATTACATGTCATGAAAGATTTCACAAATTATGAACAAGTAGCAGTGAGAGTATTAGAAAAATTTCCAATGAGTGGGATCACACCTCAAGAATTGAAACAACTTGTTCATGAAGCGTATGGAAGTGGTAATTCCAAATTTCATTCTGCAGAAATTGTCGAATTGACTCGATTACCAAAATCTGTCATCCATCAAGACACATCTGTCATGTCAAATGCATGTCGTGAATATTCTAATCAATTTTTAGTGGAATTATTTCATGGACCTACGGCATCGTTCAAAGATTTAGCTTTACAATTGGTTCCAAAATTATTTACACAAGCCAAGAAGCATTTACATGAAGAATTTTCTCAACCGGTATTAACTTCACACAAAGTATCACATCCATCCATTCTCCATTCTCATCATCATGAACAACCAATCACGAACAAGACTGAATCAACAGAAAAAACTATAATTTTAACAGCAACAAGTGGAGATACTGGTTCGAGTGCCATTGAAGGATACAAACATGAAAAAAACATTTCCATCATTGTTTTGTATCCAAAGGGAGGAGTGAGTCCACTTCAAGAATTGCAAATGTTACAAACTCATCATGCAAACAATGTCAGGGTTTTCGGAGTGAATGGAGATTTTGACAAGTGTCAACGAATGGTGAAGGAAATTTTCTCAAATTTTCAATTTCAACACCAATTGAAAGAAAAACATGGAGCGACCTTGACAAGTGCAAATTCCATGAATTGGGCACGAATCATGCCTCAAATTGTGTACCATGTCTATTCCTATTTACAATTAGTCAAGAGGGGAATGATTCAATTAGGTGACGAAATTGACATGGTCGTTCCTTCAGGAAATTTTGGAAATTTATTAAGCGCCGTCTATGCATGTAAAATGGGTTTGATTTTTGTGAGGAAATTTATTTGTGCTTCGAATGAAAATTGTGTCTTGACTCAATTTTTCAATACAGGTGTTTATGATTTGAGAGGACGCGAATTGCAGAAAACAACTTCTCCTTCGATTGATATTTTGAAATCGAGTAATATTGAACGATTGTTGTACAACATGTTGAGTTTTGAAAATGATCGTTCAACAACATTGGTATCACGTTACATGAATCAATTGGAGAGTGAACATTATTTTCAAGTGTCGAGTGAAATTTTTGAATTATTGAAAGAGAAATTTGTGGCTGCTTTTGCTACACAGAAACAAGTGGCCGAGACGATAGCAGAAACATGGAAACAGAGTGGAATTCTTTTGGATACTCACACAGCAGTGGCCAAGTATGTTGGAGATTTGTTTAACCACAAACTGTCAAATGACAATTGTCAGCAAATTCCCATGTTAATTGTGTCCACGGCTCATTGGTCTAAATTTCCCAACGCTGTTCTGGAGGCACTCACTCCTGAAGGGACAAGAAAGGTATATTCACAACACAATGACAACAAGGTTGACAATTTGAAAGAGCTATTTTATGAAATTGAACGAAAAGCTATGGGATCGACTATTCATCCATCCATCCAATCTGTATTGTTTGTTGGTTCTTCGAATGTAACACCCTCCATGCAACACGAATTGTGTCAACATACCGAAGACGTACTCGAACACATTTACAAACTAGTACTTCAAGATTAATCATATTTACGTCTAAGGATTTGAGAGGAAGGATCATTCTGCAACCTAACATTTTTATAAAGTTTGAAGAATTAATATAGCCGTCATCATTGATGAGTTAGTGTCAATGTGCATATGACAGCGCTAGTTCTCGTGAACACAATTAGGAAGAATTTTCGAAAGCGTAGTTTCCAGTCGATCATCTGACATCTTCTCAGCAGCCAAGGTTGTCAAATGTTTCATATTTGTACCAAGAAGCATGATGTCATGGTAATGACTCGGTCATATACTGACAGCTTGGTCAGTTTTCTCAAATAGGGACTGTTACAGACCTTGAAATTACTCGAACGATGCCTGCACTTTCGTCTTCATATGTGCCTATAAAAGAGACTTATGGAAAAAGTGTAGACATCTTTAAATTTGGAGAAATTATTATGAGAGTTTGGAATGGGGATACAGTTTCTCCTACCAATACCAACCACCCTGTGAATGCTCTGTGAATGCAATGTCAGGATTTGTTACCTGAAAAAAGACCGACCATGGAACAAGCTTTAAAAAGACTTAAAACTATCCATGAAACGGATTACAGATAAGCCAATATTTGAGAGTGATATTCGAAAATTAATCTCCTTAACGTAACATGAATTGTACAAACTATTCGTCCAACTCGACAAAAATAATTAATACTAATTCTACCTCAATTATTTCTTAAATAATTATTCTACCTCAATTATTCTCATAAATCCATCAAAACGAAGACATTAAAAGGATGAGACAAACAGTGATCTTGCTGAAATAATCACCACAATTCTACTCCACATACTTCGAGTTTGGATTTTGAGAAATTTCCAAGTTGACAAACGCCAATACTTAACACTATTAAATTTTAAATACTCTCTCAAGCTCATCCAACGCTTGTTGATAGGCATGCCATTTCTTTTGTGTGCCATCATTTCTTAAGAGAAATTCTGGAATGAAATTCCAGCCATGAAATACCCTCTCATAAACTTCTCCATAGAATCTGTATGGCCTTGAATTTTGTGTATGATTGAGTCTATTATTCTCCAACTCTTCATATCTAATTCGCATAGTGTTCATGAATTGTTCCATATCTGCAATATTTGGGTCGTATTGTGCTGCAATTAGCATGACAGATCTAGGAAGCATCTCAATACTAGCATAGGAAGGAGAAAGTAATGGATCTTGTAGTAATTTTTCAATTTCCTCCTGTGACAACATTTCACACTCCACTCGTTCAATAATAGCTTGCAAATAAGCTTCATAATAGACACATCTTTTGAGTGGATTCGTTGTTTGAAATGTACTTTTTGACTGAGATGTGAAATTCATAGGTGGGTAGAAGGAAATTAAACACTCCAAAGGTATGTTCTTAGATACTATTAATTGAGCAAGACCAAACGCTAAATTACCTCCGGCACTAAATCCACCTACTGCCAACTTGATAAGTCTGGGATTTTGTTCATTCCCAAATTCTTGTAAACTCCATTCTACAGCGTTCAAACAATCATACAAGCCCTTTGGAAAAGGATATTCTGGAGCTAATCCATATTGAGGTGCTACCACAATACAATTCAGTTCCTGAGCGACTAAATCACAAAATTCAGAGCAGTCTTCCGGATATCCAGAAACAAAACCACCTGGGTGAATATTAATGTAGATATTTGATGAATGATTATTGGTGTTAGGAGATGATGATCGTGGAAAATATACTAGAACTCGTTGTGCTGTTTGTTCGTGATCATAACGATTCGGAATGAAATATTGTTTGAAGTGATAGGCATTGGGACTTTTGAACCGAGCAATATAATACGCAAGTGATCCTACCAAATGTCGGTTGAAGAACACTTTGGAATGAAACCATAGTCTTTGAACCATTCCAATCATTTTTTCTTTCAAAGAATCGGAGGTGAAATTTCATTCATCATCATCTAATCATTTTTTCTCGTTCGTTTTCAGGACATCTATTGTTGCGTTGGTGCTCTGTCATGAAATCACTGAACTATGGTGTCTTGAAAATTAAGGCATGAAGACTAGTTGTTGAAGACTGTGAGGAAAGAAAATATGCAAATATTCGAGAGAGAGAATTCTCTTGATGTTATACAGTATAGGACCTGTCACCCCGTTGCAAGGCTTTAAAGATAAAAGTTGTGAGATTTGAGTGAACAAATAGAGTTCTTTCCAAACTTTGACACAAATATCTTGTACAGAAGTTGGGACAGCCCTTAATATCATTTTCATTCAAGCTACAAATTCGTTCAGTTCATTGACACAACAAAACATTTCTTGGACCAAAAGTAACGATAGATTCGAAGAGAAAGATGAGCATTCAGTGATCATCTGTATGCAAGAATGCTCTCTTATAAACGTGGAACCATGATCAGTGCGTTGACAAACCAGCATGCATTATTATACAAAAAAGTAAAAATTTAACGCCATATCGAAATGCTCTAGGTCAAAAAATCCTTTTTCGTTCTGAATTTAGAAATAATTAATGATAACGGAAATGAAATTCAATATAGAAAAATTATTTTTCCATTCATACGCAACGTTTATGTACATGAAGCATACAAAAACGATGCACGAAAAGCCACAGAGATGTTTTGGGTCAGACAAGTTTGCCATTCTTTCACTTGTCAAATATCGACAAATATTGATGTCGAGATTCATTATAAAATGCTCAAACTCAGCATTGTTAACTTTGTTCCAAACTCCACCATTGTGGACTCCTCCTCAACTGACGCTGCATCGTCTTCTCCTCTCCAATCTTGCAGCCAAGCAGCTAAGAAGCACCACAACTCTTCTCGTCCCACCATGGTGACCTACTTGACCGATTTCACATACCGTCCACAAACTCCAAGTCTCAACAAGTCCATGTTCGATGGTTCCAGTGATCTTTCTCATCTCTTTACCAATTTGAAAAGACCTTTCAAAGTTCGAGTGTCCAAAAATCATGATCAATTATTATCTTCGTCATCAGCAAATATTCCATCGAACAGAGTGACAACAGAGAAAATGAACACCGAATCCAACAATGGCATGCAATCAGAAATGATGCTCAGAAAAGGCATTCAAAAACCAGTTCAATTATTACGTAAATCGAAATCAAAATGTAAGAGAGCCATTTCTTCGACTGCCTTGTGGTTCTCCTCCTCGATGAATCATCATGCCATGTCTTCCGCTTGCTTGGAACATCAACAACAACAACCACATGCACCCATGCAACCATACAACAACAACCACCCAAACTGTGCTGGTTTTCACACAACCGAACCTTTTCCAAATCTAGTCTCAACAAGTACAAATATGGTCACGCCCAACAAATTTGAGCAATTTACCCCTCAAACCATTCACATCAACAACAATAAGGAGGTTTTGAATGTGCAGCCAAGAACCGAAGCGTGCTCTTCACCTCATCACTTGGTAACTTTAACACATTCTACAATGGCGCATCATTCCAATGTTCCAACAAGGAAGGGAAGGACATCAATTTCCATTCAAGAATTGTTGAATTAGTCAGCTGAATAATACCTCAAATACTACTGCAGTTCCAATAAAAAAAGGTCCATTGAATTATTATTCTTGAGAGGATGCAAATGCATCTGTCATTTCGTTGTTGACACGTTTTCATTTAAGGACACATCAGCTTATTTCCAAAAGCGCCATTCGATCTACAGGGACGTTACGGATTCTTTGCCGTTCTTAAACAAACAAGCACCTTTTCCAAAAATGTTCATAAATACCATCGCCGTTTCTTCTGTGAAGGGCTTTTTTTCAACAATCATGCCTTCATTCAAATCCAATACAGCCGAAGGTGACCCAAATTGTTGTACACCAAAAAAAACACCTCGTATACTCTCGCTTGGTCGCTCTCAATATGAAATTAAGCATCATTTCGTTCATTCCAAATCATAGAACTAGCACTAATTCTCCAACTACAACAACCGTGGATGGAATGAAAAGAAGCAGTAGGAAGAAGCAACAGAAGATGACCATGATTTCGTATCGAACAGAGATCCAATCCATGCAACCTATGAATCCCTTCGATGGATCGACGGACATGTCTCACTATTTCAACGCTGCATGCGGTAGTGGTGGTATTCATGCTTCACCATACATGGTCAATACTTTGAAAAGAAAAAAGTCAAATTCAAAAACAACAACAACGACCACCATGACTTCACATGCTGTACAACAGCATTCATGCCATTGTGAATCGTCCTCGAGTGTACATGTTCCACCAATGTCTACACGTAAAATTCAAAAGAAGAAACACCGTCCAAGTGATCATTGGATTCAAGTTCAACAACCCATGATGAAAATTAGTAATGACCATCATTATGCAGGTCCACAACAACATTCTTCCTCATGCATGGAGTGTAACAGTGCATGCAGTAACAGTAGTGAAGAGAACTCTCATATTGTTCACACAACAACAACACCATCATCTGAATCCTCACATGCTACATCCTCTTCTTCTGTAAATGTAACAAATCAAACCTCATCATCCGCTACCATGCTTCATGAAGGTACAACATTCAAAGGTCAGAAAATTGTTCGAACATCAATATCTATTCAAGAATTACTGAATACATCTTTTTGAACAGGAAAATTCGCCACTTTGACAGCGTCACTTGTAGAAATATTCCATGGTTTCTCCTCCTGTCCATTCATCCTCAATTTGCTTGTACAGTAACGGATCAATGATTTCCTTTTGTTTTGGGACAAACTTGACAGTTTGAGTAGAATCAGAAGAACTATGCACACACTCGTTTGGGGTGACAGCAATGTTTCTATCATTGGCCATGTCACTCGTGTGAGAAATGAATTCCACATTCTTATATTCATCCGTCATGGTACAGGAAAGAGCACGAGCAATTCCAAACACATCAGACAATGCACAGTGAAATGTGTTGAGAGATTTTAAATGGAAATGACACTTCTTGTCACACGCTTCGGAACTGAGCTGTTTCAATAGATCATTCAATTTTTTCGAAGAGAGGACTTTTGCAGTCGATGAGGCGACTTCAAACGTTGAGGATGGATGGCTGGATTCAAAATAAACATTTCCCTTCTCATAGCTCGTGACAAAATCCTTAATGTCATATACTTGAGGAAATTTCAATTGTTGATAACTTGTGCTTTCCTGAGTGAGAAAATGAAAGGAACAATTTTCAGCGTGCGGGGCATGGGCAATGAGGAGCACTTTTGACAAGTCAATGAAATGCTTCGTATCGTCATGATTGGTGTTTTGGCTCTTCTCACATCCCAAGAATTTGAAAATTCGTTCCAATAAAAGGTCATAATTTTTGGAAAGGTCGTCAAAAATTCGGAGTTCCTGATACGAAGGGAAATGCAATGGAATTCCATGAATATTTTGAGAAGTATATGCAATGGTTTGGAAATCGCATGGAGGAATGTATGTAGGGCATATAAACGAGTGGAAATGTTCTACAATTTTGAGTTGTTTCAAACAAAATTTTGCAATGGCAACTTCACATGGAATTTTATGATATTTTCCCAACACCGCCATCTGTTGAGTCGAGAATGGTATTTCCATCGACAAGTGTCACTTGAATATTTCACTTACCTCAAAATCAACAATGAATATGTGTTCCAACGAATCGAATATTTCATATGGAATGAATGGATCCGAATCGCCATCCTTTTTCTTTATCATAAAATAGGTCAATTCTTGAAAAATATCAAATGAATAGACATGAAAACGACCATGATCAAAATAGATATACGCATGCTACAATACTAGCAAGTACTTACCTTGATCTGTCAATAAATCACAATGCAACACATTTCCATTGAGAAATTGTCCATCTAATTTTTGAATACATTCTCGAACATAACTCTCTGTGCTGTTGGTATAGCTATTAATACCATTTTCATCAATCGATAGAATCTCCTCCTCTAATTCAACTGCAGCAAAATTCAAAGGTTTTTTATGTCGAAAAGCAATTTTCAATCGACAAATATTAATTTCAAATTGATTTTCTTTAAAAAATTGATGATGGACAGGAGGTTGACGATTCATCATCATTTTGTCTATTTCAATAAATTCCAAATGATCAGAACACTCACCCAATGCTGTTTTCAATTTTGCATTTCCGTTATAGAGTTCGGAATCAAAGCCTTCTACTTTAAATAATAAATGTCTTCGTCGAGTAAATCCATTTTGTTTATATTGAGAAAGGATGGATTCTTGTTGCGTTGATTGGTTGTTGTCATTGACACCTTCTTGATGACGAGTATCCACGACACGATAGCTGTTGTCGAGCATTATTTTTTTAATTTATTTGTTTGGAACTGCAAATTTGCTGTCAATTTTTAGACACAAGAATTCCCAACTCGTAAACAAATTAATCTTGGTGTTGAATGAGGAAATTTAAATAGAATGGATATCCTCCTTTGACCCTGGTTAATTAAATTACCAAAGGGTCATTTGCGAACACAACTCTTTTGTAACAATGCCACTTCTTCATTCAAGGTCCCCTTACCTCTTATTCCAGCTGTTCAGCCATGTGATAATTTGTATTTAAAGAACTCTTTGAATGGTTATACTTACCAAAACCCTACGATGACACTCCAACAATTGTTAACGGCAATTACACACCAGTAGGGGCCTCCTTTGCTTACTTGAGAATTAAGAAAGGAAATGTCATTCAATAAGATTGGCAAAAAGAGTCAACGAATCCTGACCCAGATCCACTCGGAATTAGAATTGTAATTTTCCATCATCAATTGGCAGTAATAAATAAACAAGTACAATTAAAACATAACACAAAATGAGCACATAATAATATCATCATGATATCATGGCCTCTGTATGTCGTCTAAATTTCTCATCAAGGACACAAAAAGATTTTTTCAATATTTTCTTTAAAAAAAATATGAGTGCTCGTAAAGCTGCCGATTCAATCATCCTCACACAGCTCAAGCAGCTCGGATGCGAGGTGGATGAGGCCGTGAATGACTTATTGGATGTAGATAAATTTTTATTGTATAGGGCTACTGTGATTTGCTTGAGAGCAATTTCAAGAGGTAATGGAAGAGAGCCGGAGGATTTTCCAGAAGAATTACCTGCTGAAATCAGTACATGTTTTAGAACTTGTAATGCTTTGACACAATCCATCAAGGTAGGTTGATCGTACGATGATTTGTAGAATATATTTTGTTCTGTTTTATAATGTTGATTTTACATCAATAATCTTGAATTTTACACCAATTATCGGAATGTAATTTTCATCATGATGGCTCTATTATTTTTTACAATCATCAACTCTATAGGAATATGGATTCAGAGGAAATATTGCCTTCGATCAATTTTTGTATCCAAATGAAATGGTAACACGTCAAATTCTGAGTTGGCTCGTAGAACAAGCTCAATCTTTCATTACAGAGCAACAAAAGGACAGTAACAATGAGGAAGCTACAAAAAGACAAACTGTACAGGCTCGCATGAACTCTGTGCTATCCTTCTTTGTCAATTCTACTTGGACTGTGAAAAATCAAAATGGTACAAAGAAGGTGTCTATTGACGTCACTTCAGCAACAAAGAGTTGGGACAATGAAAGAGTACGATGGGAAAGCACTCCTGTTAACACTCAGTCAAGCATGAATGCGTTCTTGTTGAACGCTCTTGATAAAGGAGATTTTTCGGATGTCACTAGAGACACAGCAGCAATGGAAAGTCTAAAGTCAGCATTCCGGGTTGGCGGCAATTCCAACGATGATCTCTGTGAAAAACATGCCTTGCTGTACTATAAAAATTTTGGGCCCTATCTTTCCGAACAAATAGAAGCTAAAGATCAATTAGCTTCAACAGTTTTTGAGGAAAACGCCAGAGAAATTTTAATTCATAAACAACGTGAAGATGAATGGAATGAATTGGGTATTGATTCAGGTTTGACTCGTGAAGAGTACTTTAAACAAAAGAATCAAAAAATTGAAATGACAATTTCTGAAGTTTTGAGAGGTGGCTCAGGTAGAACTGGTGTTGAAGATGACGGTTCCAATAACGATGGAGATTTGCCATCACTTTCAGATTTACTGCAAAGCTTGAAAAATAATAGAAACAATGATGCCTCTTCAACATTTGCCAAGAGAAAATTATTCGAGAATGATACAGATGTTACAAAGAATTTGCTAAGTACAAATCCTTTGGCGTCGAAAGATAAGAGTGATGCAAGCATCGAGGAAGAAAAAAAGCGAAAAGAGGAAGAGAGACAGAAAGAATTGGAAGAACTGCAAGCCATGCTCGACAAGGTTAATACCAGAATTGACCAAATTCACAACACCAAGGAATCCCTAATGGCTCAAGTGAAACAGACTGAGGAGGCCATTTCCGAGGAGAAACAACGAAAGAAAAAGCTAGAGGAAGAATTCACTGTTGCTAAAACGACTGCCGTCATTTTGCAAGACAAGGAAAAGAATATTAAACAACTCGAGACGGTAACCTCACAGGGTGCTCAACGATTATTAAATCTTGCCACAGAATGGGAACAACACAGAAAGCCATTGATTGAACGATATAGAGCACTTAAAGAGAAGATGAAGGAACAAAAAAACGAATACAAGGATTTACTAAACGTTTCAAAAGACCTTCGTGATCAAATGAATGAGCTGATTCACTCCATTAGACAAAAAGAGGAGCTAATCACAAAAAAGAAGCAAGAATATGACGACATGCCAAAAGAAACCGACCGAACCACATACGTGACTCGTATTTTGGATGTTGTGAAGAATATTGAAAAGCAAAACGAAGAAATTAGCAAAGTTCTCAACCAGAGTAGAGAGTTGAATCAAGCTGTCACAGAATTGACTTCTAAGGTGTCAAGAACATTCCAAGAAAATGAGGAGAGCATTTTCAAAGAGGCTCAAAAAGATCCAGAATATAAGCAACTCTATAAGGACCTTGTTGAGATCAGAAGTTTGTTCGAGGCATTAATTGAGAGTGTTCAACAAAATGGAAAAGCTCTCAACACGATCAGAGACTTGGAAAACCAAATTACCACCATTTCAGAACGTAATGATACTCTCAATATTGAGAAGGTCACTACTGATTTACAACTCATTCAAAACGAAAACTTGAAATTACAACAACAATTGTTAGGAAAGTAAACGTATGAATGTCAATGACATTTCATCATGTATTTTTCACAAGAATGCTAGCTCCTTAACATTTGAATCGGTTTATGAAAAATTAATTAATTAATAATTAATATTGGAGCAACCCGAACCATGGATCTTGCCAAAATGTTTCTTTATAATATTGAGTTGGGTCACAACATGACGACTCGTGAAGCGATCTTAATTTCGGAATTGATTTTTCATTCTTGGCACTTGTATTTGATCCTTCCAATAACTTATTAAATTTCTCTCGTGTCCGATTTTCAAATAATTCTTTTCGTTCTTCCTTTCCGAGTTGTTGAGTCAATTTTTCTTTTTTCGCTTGTTGTTTTTGCTCTTTTCGGAATTTTCTTAAAGCATGTTTATCTAAAGGTTCAGTAACTGTTGTTGTTGTTGTTGTTGATGGGAGTTGCTGTGTATCCGTCGACGGTGATGAGCTTGTTTCAAAAGACATTTTTTTAATCTTTTGTTACAAAAAGTAATTTTGTTCATTACTGAATTGAACCATTTCAAGCTATTTTAAGGTTTTTCAAAGTGTGAAACAACGTAAATTGGTCGTCACTTACCTATGTGAACTAAGATGTCCTCAAGTGCAATATTACACGTTGGAAGTCACAACCTCAATGAACAACGAACTGTTTTAAATAATTAACAATGCAAGAAATAGTTGGAATTGTAAATTGACAACCCACAAAAAATAACATGACATTTCGTAATCTATTGTTTTGTTCAAAGCCTTCTCCTTCTCCGAATCCTTTCATCCTTCCAGCAACAACAACCAATGCTAATAATAATTCATCTCAGGAAGGAACCAACAAGACTTCTGAATTTGATCAAATTCCAGATGAAATGTACCGAATTATTGAAGAAATCATTAATAATTGTGATGAAGATACTTCTGATGTACAGTATCATTCAAAAACGAATCAAGATGATGAAAGTATGATTCAAGACTTTGATGATGAATTTTCAAACAATTCCGATGATTCATCTTCAACGTTTGGCAGTGATTTCACTGTTCCAGAGCCAAGTCAAATTCTTCCTCAACCACTTCATCATCAACAAGTGGCAACACATTTAATTACAAGTCCTGATGGCTCTCTTGAATTTGAAATGATTCTTCCACTCCGATATGAACCTGTCAGAGATGAAAGTACTGGTTGTGTGAAAATTCTTGGACAAGGTGGTTATGGAGTGGTGATTGCGTGTTGGGATAAATTTCGTCCAATTACATCCTCCTCCACAAATTCATCAACAACAAGTCAGAGTCCACCCTATCAAATGGTTGCTGTGAAGAAAGTGAGAAATGTTTTCGAAAGTGGAGCTCCCTATCGAATGTTAAGAGAAATTAAAATTATGAGACATTTGAGACATCATGAAAATATTGTGGAACTAGTGGATGTCTTTATTTCGACTCATTCAAGAAATGTGCCATACTGTTTGAAAGAACTTCAAGATTTATATATTGTGATGGGATTAATGCAAGATGGCGATTTGAAAATGTATTTAAATCGGCTAGGAAAGAAAAAGCAATGTGTCTCGATCGAATTTGTGAAAAATATAATGCGTCAATTAGTGAGTGCTATGGAATATATGCGATCCTTTGGTGTGTTGCATCGAGATTTGAAACCTGCCAATGTATTGGTACAGACCCATTCTACTCGTGAAGCGAATAATGACGACCACGAAGGCAAGGACCTTGTTCATGTGAGAATTTCTGATTTTGGATTAAGCACAAGTGAAACCGACCATCCAGGACAATCTCCAAATTCCATGTACGTGGTCACACGTTATTACCGAAGTCCTGAAGTCATTTTACAATATGACACTCAGACCAGTAGTGTTGATTCTTGGTCTCTAGGATGTATTTTTGCAGAATTACTATACATGTTGGGTCCTAAACCTATTCGAAGACCTCTCTTCCTCGTTCAACAAAGTGGTCAAGACATGAAAGGCATCATTGAGCATTTAAACTTAATCACATGCCTTTTAGGAAAGCCAAAGGACCTTAACGATATTAAGGGCTCAGATGGAGCTCGTGAATTTTATGAACAACATTTTTATGAATTCTCTGAAGAAGGTGTGGATTTGAAAGCCATCTTTCCATCCGCTCCAGAAGAAGCTCTTGATTTACTGAGAGAATTTTTGCAGTGGAATCCAGAAAAACGAATCACATTTGCCAATGCATTGTGCCATCCGTTTTTGGCTCAAGAAGAGGATGCGAGTGTGGAAAACCTATCCTCATTACATCTTGATGCTGTGAATCAAACTCGTTCAACTCATGATGAAAAGAATGTTGAAACTCATCCTACAGCTTGTCAACAACAAACAACCAAGCCCGCACAGCATCATCGAATTGAATTCAATTTCCAAACGAAATGTGATGCTACAACTCTTCGTTATTTGTATTACAAGGAAATGATGTATTTCAATCGACGAGTGGTGTTCATGAAAACTCAATAATTTTCTCACACATTTTCAGGGATCCAAAAATAGCAATGGATCGTTTCATGATGCGACACACAAGATTTTGAGTTCTCCAAAACTTTCAGGTCACCATTAGGATCAACATGTTGAAAATTTGTTGAGGGTCGTGATTTTTGATCCGATTTCAAACTAGAGGCGTAAGCGATGAGACATGATCATAATCGCTTCATTCTTTCTTCCTAGCTAGCTTCATATTTTAGGAAATCAGACTCTGAGTTCAATGGACCTTGATCTAACTCCTTTTGTTGTTTTCAAGATTTGAAAAAAAGTACAACAACAACAACAACAACAACCACTCCTATGAAGCAACAATTACAAGACAAACAACCACACAGACACGATCCATCGCATGTGCCATCATACATGATGCTTCGAGAACAAGTGTTGAATATCCTCAGAGAGGCCAATCATGACCGCCGTAACGAATCTGCTGATTCAATTCACACTGTAACAAACTCGAGATTGACCTGGATGAACAACATGACTCAATGTTGTGAGCCCATGTTTTTCAGACTTTCTCAACCACAGGACTGCTTGACACTTCATCAGTTATTGAACTCTCAAATTGGACAAACTTGTCATATTGTGGATACCATGCGGCTCCAATTGAAAGATTTGGTGAAAATGGAAAATCCTTCTTTGTTTATCAATTCAACGTTCTCTGAGCATGCCAATGATTCACAACAAGAAGCACTTTATTCTAGCAAAATTTCAGAGAAATTACAACATGTTTCATGCATGGAAGATTATGGAGTTTGGGTTTATTATCCTTGGAGAAATGTCTTGTGTCACTTGTTGGACGAGGAAGAATTTATCAAAGTTAGAACGATCCGTAATGCTCACAAGATTACACTCGAAGAACAAGATGAGTTGAAACGAAAGAAAATTGGAGTTGTGGGTCTTTCTGTTGGACATGCCGTGGCTCTTACATTGGCCATGGAAAGAGGGTGTGGAGAATTGAGATTGGCAGATTTTGATACGTTGGAGTTGACCAATATGAATCGATTGAGAGCAAAGGTGTATGACTTGGGCCTTTTGAAGGTAAGTGGTTGAATAGTAATTGTGATTAAGTAGTAACATGTGTATTTTATATTACTCATGCAATAGGGAGTGATTACAAAACGAGAAATTGCAGAGATTGATCCATTTCTTAAGGTGGTCATCTTCAATCAAGGCATCAATAAGAAAAACATTTCACAATTTCTTGGAGTTGATGATGAAACCAATAATAACAAATTAGACCTTGTCATTGATGAGTGTGACAGTTTTGACATCAAGGTTCAATTAAGATTACACTGTCAAAAATTTGGAATTCCAGTGGTGATGGAAGCAAGTGACCGAGGTTGCTTGGACATTGAAAGATTTGACCTTGATCAGTCCTATCCAATTCTGCACGGAAGAATTTCACAAGAATATTTGAAACCCGATATGGATCTTGATGTAGTTCAACGAAAAAAGTTGATTACTCAATTCTTGGATCCGTCACAAGCATCTGAAAGAGGTCTGAAATCATACCTTGAAATTGGAAAGACTATAACCACATGGCCTCAACTTGCCAGTGATGTCTCTATGGGAGGTGCAGTAGTGGCCATGGCTTCACGAATGATTTTGCTCAAAATGGCCATTCCTTCCCAGAGAAACTATCTGGACGTATCTTCAATGATTCAAGCACATCAACAACAGTACGCTGCATCGGTGTGGATCGACAAGATGAAACGGATTTGGTTAATGGCTAAATGTGTTGCAAAATCTCTGAAATAAGTTGTCACATTTTTCTGTTGTAAATAATTTAAATTGTTGATCAAAGAGTAAAATATTAGTACAAAATCAGTGTCAATCAATTACAAAAATATGCTCTTTTGGAAATCAGACTTCTTCTCCGTTCTGGACTTGACATTACTTTGATCATAGTCCTTATTTCTGCCTCTTAATTGGTTGACTTTATAGAGCTGATCACGGTCTTTGGGAATATAGGCGGACACAACATTCTTTTCTGGGGCCAAGCTTTTCCAGGATAAGTATTTTGGAGGTTCTCTATTGATAACAATCTTTTCTTTCTGTTCCTCTTCATCTTGTTCCTCTCCGTTGTCATTTTGAGTTGCACTAGTAGCTTGTTTTTCAAGTGCCTCTTTGATCAACGCTTGGGCTTTTTCCTCTTCCATTTCATCATCAATTCCGAGCTTCTTTTTCAATTTTGCCATTTCTTTTTGTTCCAATCGTTTCACATGCTTGCTCTTCTGGTTCTTCTTTTTATTTTCCTGTTTTTTCAATTCCTGATTTTTCTCCATTCGTTCCTCTTTTTCTTTAGTGTTAGATCGTTGATCTTCTTGTTTTTCTTCCATTTTGATTTCCTCGTCAAATGTTTCCCATCTTCGTTGTTTATTGATCGATTGTGGAATAGCATGATCATATTTACGAGATGAACTCTCCTCGTCATCTTTATCTACATCCACCCATCGGAAATAGACTGGAGTCACACTTTTCGCATCTCCAAGATTGGAATTGTATTTCAAAGTTTGTGAAGTTTTGACACCAAATCGACCCGTGTTTCGTTGTTGCATTTTTTTTTATTTTTTTTTTGTTAAAACATTAAGTTCATTCCGTCACCAAAAAGATCACGTTAGAGTTCAATTGTTACTCAATTATCTGAAGAATGATCAGTTGTTTTTATCAGTTTCTTTTCGATTACTACTGGTTGAAAATTGTTTTGAAGCGAGTCCAACAAATTTTCAAAAAATTATTATTATCGTCATGTTGAAACCCCATAATGATGATCGTTTTCTTGCTGATCATTCGGGTAAGGACTCCTCGATAGAAGTGAGTACCATTATGGATGCACCATTTCTCTCTACGCCACAAGAGAAGGACAGAAACGACCCAATAACAATTTCCTTTCATCACACCTCAATGAAGAACGAGGTAGAAACTAGTAGGGTGGAGTCATCCAATTCCCGAAAGAATCAAGAATGGCTGCCATCCTCAACTATTATGAAAGGCTGTTTTCAACCGATTGTTTTTGCAGCTGTTGCTTCTTGTTGTTGTTTTCTATTGATCCTTGTATTAATCATATTGACTTTCATCCATCCGAGTCGTGAAGACTTTCTCTCATCATCAACCATACAGAGTTCATCACCCCTTAATAGGAATTCATTATTTTCAACATCATTGTCAAGGAATCCACACGCAATAAGGAGTAGGAAAGTCCGAAAATCTTCTTATGGAGATCCTCAACCACTCGATCAATACGATGATGCCAGCAGCTCGACATTTCTCACTTCATTGGTGTGTCCCTTCTCAATTTATGGCTCTCAATGGTATGAATATTGGAGCAATCGCAACAAATCGAACAGTAATCATTCCAAACTTTTCTCCCAAACGGAGGCAATTGTGAATGAATATTTGCCCCTGTACAATCAAACAGAATGGGTATTCAAGTTTCCCAATCAATCGAGCCCTCTTTCGTGCCCAGCAATTACTATTAACGAGAGGAGCAAATCTGTTTTGATTAATTATCAGTATGATGCAGATGTTTCTTTCTACTATGGGAATATTGAAGCTTATTGCCCTCAAGAGGACTTTCCATATGATTCTATTTGTGACAGGATGTTTTGTTTTTCTCAGGACATGCTCAATGAACTGGAGCAAGCAACTAATGATTCCAAAATCTTTGACTATGGCCTCAACTTGACGTCGCTTCTCGTTAAGGATATTGATTTAATTCCCGAAGGACCTTTGTATACTCAACAATTATCGCTTTCTATCATGTTTTCATGGATGGAGAGCTACTTGAAAGGAGCCAAAATATCATTCAATCCCATACTCTCAGAGTCAATTTGGAACAATATTACTCAGTTGATTCCAGAATTAGAGGAATATAGCCTGGGTCTTACAGCCGACATTCTTGATCTGTATACGACGTGTAGGGCATGCAGAGACTATTCACAATATCCTGTGAGTGATGGTCTCGATATTTGTTTGAACGCAAATTTGCCATTTCAATGCAGCTATGGCAATTTGGATCGAATAGCTTTGGGCTTTCCTTTCATGAATCAAATCCAAAATTATTATGGCAATTTGCTAAGTAGCTCCATGTGCTACTGCCCTCGACCATATACTGCAACAATCAATTCACAAGGGACAGATATTGAAATTGACACCAAAGCAGAAATGTCTAATATTAAGACAGCCTCGCGGTGTGATAGTTACATGTATTTTTGGTATCCCTTGTACTGTTCTGAAATCATTAATGCTGTTCTTTTGATATTGGAAATGGCGTTGGCTCTCGTCATAACCATGCTGATTTGGCTACCTCTGTTGATACAATTCATCAAAAATGTCGTTTTGAAGAGAAGGAATATAACGAGTTTGAAAATTCAAAACTTGTGGCCTTGTAATGTTTGGACAATGGCTAAATCAAAGACGCACTCGATCAGAGCTTCAAAAAATATCTATTACCAAATACACCTTACCAACACCAAATGGGCACAGATAGTGTGTGATTACAAGCTCAATGCAGCATCTACACTCCTATTCTCATTTCTATGCTTGCTGACATCATATACTTGCGATTTCTTGAGAAGAAATAGTTCTGAAATATCAGACGTTGTCCCTGATATATTTTTTCTCATTGCCCTGGGAAATTTGTTCATTTGTGCAATACCGATAATTTCAACTTGGATCAATGCAATGAAAAAGAATGAGAATCATGGCATGTCCATGAAAATTAGTATTCCACTTCTAGCTCTTCAATTATTTGGCACAATCCTCACAATATTTGCTCCATTATTAGGGTACTTGTATATTTTTCAAGTGAAGAATGATTACACAGCTCTCTCCCTCCTGTATGGCATGCTGTTCGGAATTATTTTCATGTATCTGGTCATTTTGATATTATTATTATTGTATAGCGTGAAAATGTTCTTGAGATTGCGAGAGTTAATTAGCATTTCATTCTTTCAATTTAGAGTAAGTTTTCAAAATGATGAATGGTTGAATATATTTGCTCAAACGTATCATTCGTCATGTACTCCATTCAGTTCACTCGATTTTTACTTGTTGCTAGTATATTATGGATTGGTTTTTTAGCATACTTTTCATTCACATTTGCCGAGTCTTTGCTTTCATTGGCAGAGGGTGAACATTTTGCAACGAGAATTTTCTTTCTATTTAAATTTGATATTTTCAATTTACTTCCACTATTATTGGCCATTGCTCTCAGTTATGCCTTGTTTCCTTCTCGGAATATTATTTTCGAGAGCTATCGACTGTTGTTCCATGTAGTGTGTTGTTGCGGAAGAGTTTCCGACATGATGATGAAACAGCAAAATTCGCAAAAGCAGGAGCTCGCTCAAGATTTATTGGACGAGCCCATGAATCAACAAAGAAACGAATTGATACAATGAACACATCAGCAAGATCAATGATTGTGCTCTTTTTCGAATTTTTTAAGAAGCTTGTGATTAACATGGGCTGGCAATTTATTCTCCTATTTCAATGAATTTCTGAGTGATCATAATAATTAATATTTAACAATTGACAAAGCGGCAATGAGGGAGACATTTTGACAAAGTAATCTTAAGCTGAGGATCTGACAGACTACTTGTGCATAAAAAAATCAATTTCCTCAAATTATGGACAATTAATATAACATCATCATTTCTGATATTATTGCCACACAAGGATAATGTGGACAAATTCTTCAGACATGAACTGTTACAGATGGCTCGAACTCCTTCAGCAGAAGCGTCATTGCTATCAATGGATAGGCCTTTCAGTTGGCAACATGTTGGATTATTGGCAATAACGAAAACTCCACTATCTCCAATGCCACAACTTGTCAAATGTAGTGACCTCAGACGTGTGAATGATGCTGCTAATAGCATTCGCGCCCCAAAAAGTCCAATTTTGTTACGGTTCAATGATAATGATTCTAGTTTGTTACAAAAAGAGCTAGAGACTAAAGCTGCTGCACCTGTGTCTGTAAAGTTGTTATCGTCAACCGTAAGCTCTGTCAAATTATTCAAAAAATCGCTTTACAAATGGCAGACATTCCCTCATCACCTATGTTACAGTTCCTCAAAGAAAGTTTTTTCAATTTTTGCATGGCCTTGCTGGTGGCAATTAATTTTGCTCCATTTGCTGATATTGGATTGCCACTGACGAGTAATACAGTCAGATTGGTCATGTTTGAACTATTTTTGGTCAACAAAGAGATGCCTTGGTCTGTGATCTCATTGCTTGACAGATTTAAATCTGTAACATTTCTCAAAAATTCTGTTTCACAAAGTACTGAAATTTCTTCATTCCCAATATTATTAAATCCAATATCTAATTTTGTAATGGTTGTTAAATGAGGACTGTTAGACAGACATTTAGCAGTAGATTCAAAACTTCAAGATTTCTCAAAATGCTACTGTTCGCAATGAGTTGCACATCTTCAGCACCAAAGCTGTTGAATGAAAGGCTCAAATATGTTAAATTTCTCATTGAAGAACAATTAGTAAGTGTCATCACTCCATCCTTGCTTACATTACAATCAATTAGTTCCAAATGATTTAGCTTTTTGATGTGCTCACTGTTACAGAGTACTCGTATTGGGAACAAATCCAATTTGGTCAATGACTTGAAGCATCCTGAAGTGATGTCATAACATCTTCTTTTCCAAAGTCTGAATTTAGACATAACGACTCGAGGTTAGGAAATTTGTTACTTCTGGTAATCAGCCCAATCATGTCAGCTGATATTGTAAGCTCTTCAGACGCTGAGATACAGAGACTTGTAAAGTTAAATGTGTTTGGATCGGATGTGATGGAATGTAATTTGGAAAGAGAGTGAGCCTTATTATTACGCAGTGATAAAGACATGGGAATCAAAAGCACTTTTTCATATCAATGTTTTGAAACTCTCATGCAGGTGTGAATGAGGAAACTCTGATCAAGAAATGTCAGAAAATGATACAACATGTCATCACCAAGTACATCATCCAATTTGGTGAGAGAGTTTTCAGAATTGTCATTATTGGTGGAGGATTTTTTGATCTTTGTGGAAATTTCGTTCATGTTGGGCTCTTCATTATTTTCTCCAAACAATTTCCTTCTTTCATTATTCCATAAATTTAAACAAATTGAAACATGTTCCAATAATTCATCAACTTGGTAATACAAGCTTTTCGTGTGATGATTCATTTTCTCGACAACAACAATTGGTTGCAAACAAGAAGGACAAATCCGAGCAACATCATCCTCATTATTCAAATTCATCATGGATCTGTGAATCCATTCCACTCTCTTTTCATTCTCTTCAATTGTTGGCTCCGAGCATGCTAAAGCATCACGAATTCGATTCATCATTTTTTTTAATTTCAATTTACAAAATTTCCACAACAAGAAATTCCAAAGGATCATTTAGGATCCTAAAATAATTCAACACTATTCCTTGTTCATCATTCAGACAATGTCAGTGTTCGAATGGAAATATCACTCAATTTCGTATTGTCCACTTTTTCACCAAGTTTTTTGATAAACAAGTGTAAATGAAATGGTCTCGTTTGAAAGGTTCGTCGATAAATAAATCCATGCCAAGGACCCAAGCTGACTTCCTCATTGGAAAACTCCTTCCTATGAACCCAGAATCGAGAAAAGGATTGGTAGTCTCCATCGAGGACTACAGAAACCGGAGGATCTATAAACCTTTCACACACCTCTCCGAAAAACACAATGTCATCACGTGTCACGATACAAGTACAAGTAGATCCACAACATAATGATAATACAGGTTTCTTGAGTGGTATTTTGTAGAATTCATCAAGACTCTCCGAATCGGTGATGTTGTGCACACATTGTTGGAAGTTATTAAGCCCCTGTGAAAAATAAATTATTATTGTTCATTCATTGGATGATAGGTGTGTGTGACAAGTCTTGGTCATAAATCATGATGAAATTACATACCCGAACATAGACAGATCCAGAATCGAGTAGCAGAGCTACATGTGCAAAACCAGTTTCCATAGCAATAATATTTCCTTCATGTTCAAAACCTGTCGTGACACGAGTTATTGTTTTTTCTGGACAATGCTCGAATCCATATCTAGAAGTACCAAATCCCCAAACATATAACCAATTATTGGTGAGAACGAATAAGAAAAGTTCTCTACAATAGCTTTTCATGAATTTGATCTCTGCTGATTTTTCCCGAAATGTAATCTTGGTGATATTGTCATAATAATTAATATATCCATCTTCTCTGATCCATGCATTGGTGTCAATAACCATGACAGTATCATCATTCCAAATATCATTTACAAGAATTACAGGTGACATGATTCCACTACCAATACACTTGAGATTACATTTGTGAGAGGTAATAAATGGAAACAGTACAACATTTTCAATATCATACAAGTATAATTTTCCATCCATCATTTCAAAAACAATGCAATGTGCATTGTTGCATATAATTTGTTTCATTTCTCGTGAGTCTTGAAATGATAATTGGGTCGAGTCTCCTTTTTGAGTGTTAGAACTTCTTTCTCGTCTATCACCACTATTCTTTTCATCATGTAATAGTTTTTGAATCATTTGCTCGAACAATCTCTCAAATGATACTTTTTGAAAACGATCTGTACCACTCTTTCTATGAGCTTGAAGAAAAAATTCATGTTCATGCCCATTCAAAAACAAGAGACTGTACGTGGTTAATTCTCCACCAGCACAAATATAAGAAATATCGAGAGGATGATCCAATGTCGAGTGTTCGAAGAACGAGATCATTTCTTCCGTGTCCTTTCGGATCAAGGACGGTCTGTACTCAAATTTTTCAAAACGATTGTCAATATCGTATGGATTGTATTCATCATTGTCTTGATCTGTGGCGAGATGCGTGTTGTTCAAACCAGTCAGCAGCAAATCTCCACAAAAGAGAATACTCATTTTTTTGTTTCAACAAAGGGCAGGTATTGAGCAAGAGGATCACCCATCTTCATGTCTTTTGAGAATGAGGAAATACTGAAACATACCTGGCTTCTTTAAGAACCAAATGTTCATAAATTTATTTAAGCAGTGACGTTGAACAAAGCATGAGACTCAGCCAAAATTCTGCTGTGTGGGTGCTTGCTACCACATTCTCCTTCACAAGCAGCAACAACAAATTCGTAAGTACCTGGGTTCCATGTGACTTGGTTTTGTGGGTCATCTTGAGCTTGGATTTGAACTTGAATTTGGAAGACACCAGCAGAGAAACCTTCAGCAACCAATTCTCCACCAGAAATGTCACCAGTGACTGGTCCGTTAACTTCGAATGCAAGTTCTGTTGGGGTAAATTAATGATTAGCGTGATAGGGGAATCATCATGAGCGTGATACACACAACGAAGAATAGGCGTGATCGATTTGAATTAAAATTGTAGTTCAAAATGCAACATCATAAAGATAACGTTCAACATCAAAAAGAGAATATCAAAATATTACATACCACCAGTACCAGTTTGATTGTAAACTCTCAATTGAGAGACAGCAGTGAAAGTAGTTCCCTTTGGAGCACTTTGTGGAACAACACGAGTGTTGAAGAATTGAGCACAGACTGGCAATTTGCAATCATGGACTGGACACAAGGAGACCAATTGGCATCCATAAATAGCATCCAAATCAGCTTCTTGAATGAGTTTGATGAATTCTTCAACTCCAAGATAATCACAGATCAAGTTACAAGCGGTAACTGTCAAAGCACCAAAGTTGGACAAGTAGGAACACAAAGCACCACATGAACCAATAACACCACCTTGCAAAATAATGTTCAACAATTGGTTAATGGTTTGATCCAACAAATTGATACACATTGGGCACAAGGAGAAACCACCCTTTGGCTTTGGAACAGCAACACCTCCGTTAATTTGCTTGAAGGAGAAGCTCATCATCTTGTCGGTTAACTTCTCATCCTTCAAAATTCTATCACGGATATCTTGCTTCAATTGTTGTAAAGTGGTTGGAGCAGCATGGCGATTATGGATGGCATGGGCATAGAATGGAGCCACATAGAGGACGCACACGAGAGCGACCAAAAGGATTTGTGAGACCTTCATGATTGGGTTGTTGTGGAATATTTTTTTTAAAACGGTTTTGTTCGGTTCGCTCAATAATCTGCGGCTCAATTTCACGAGCGAGCCATCAAGGAAGGTTTATCAAAGATGACCCACAAGAATTGGTCTTCAACAACAATTAGGAGTTGCTGGCCTCGGGTGAAAAAATGAAAGAATGCAGAGTTCTCTCTGAAAGGAGAACCACATTTGTTACAAAACAACACACAAGAATGATTGTCTGGTGAAAATCACCAGAATGGCTCTTTCCATTTCGCAGCTTTCCGTCTCGTTGTAAAACTTGGAGGCTCCGCTGCGACCAATGGCGGACTTGCATGTGAAATTTTTTTCATTGGTCGATGAAAATGTTTCGATCATATCTCACGATTGTATCGACCGAGGTGACCTTGTCATTACTGTAAGTATTTCCCCTGGTTTTCGTACGGTAAAGCTCTAGTGCTGTAAAAATCAACGAAATTATTTAATTTGGGTGTTAGCTCTTTCCCCTCTGTAAAAACTGGCCAGACATCGAAATGACCCAATTCCAAATAAGCAGGAAAGATGTGGCCTATTAATTTTGAAATAATGGACTGACGCTTTATTGAAAGTCATGGCTCTAGAAGATGATGATGTATGGAGAGAGTAATATGCAATAATAACAGAATCAAGTTCTACATGCTTGAATTATATTTTCTTAAAGTTGTCTTTTTGTGTAAGAAATTTCTAATGATGATGCACGAGAATGACACGAAATGAAATTCATAATTGTCTTGTTGTGTGTTTTAAATTTCAAAGCATGATGCTACTCTGTTGATATGAATTTTCTCTCTCGTTCCCGATAAAATCATCATCGAATATTTAAATAATATTAATAAGTACTATAAAAATTTAGATGTTATTTTCTAAAATAGACAGGATCTAAACATTCCATCATTTCAATAGAATTTCCTCTCACTACAACTGTTCCGAGAGGAATTTCTTGTTTGGTTTGTGTTGATGTTCCGTCTTGATTTGCACTCATCACTCCAACTTTGTCGACAGCATTCTCCAACGTTAAATTCATAAATGGATCAAATCCGATCAGTGTTCCTTCCACATGTCTTTTTCCATTCATCTTGATCGAAAGTCTTTTATTCATGTACACTTTCAATTCGGGATACTGATTGCTTTGTACCATTTTTTTGTAATGCTTTTCATTGGATGATAAAATTTGTGGTTGAACCTGCTTCGATCGTTTTCATAGAAAGCAAAGTTCTGAAACCATGGCTTTCCAAGTATTTATTCAACGAGAGTCAGATGTAAAACTAGACAACTTGTGTTCAGCGGTTAATCTCTTGTTTCAATTGTTCAATTTCACAATACTGTTCGAACGAATCCTCGTGGCGGTGTCGTTGTCGGTATGCTCTGGAATTTGTGGGCTCTTTCATCGATTCGAACGCACTATCTTTCTAGTTATATCCAGATGCTCCACAGCTTCACAAAAGTTCGTGTTCGAAGCCAAAGGACATGTCAGCAACTGTTGTTTGGTCTCAAGGAATTGTACGTTCGTAACTTGATTCAATCATCTTAAAAGTAACACACTGCGACAGATCTCAGTTTTCACAATGGCCTCTTGGCATCATAACAAACTTTGAATCTCATTGTTATCGGACAAGATCAACACAAAAAAAACAAACCATTGGAGAAAACACAACTCTCCATAGTCATTCATTCTTCCTCAGCATGCACATCCATGTTCCAATCGTATCCACAGTTAGCCGGCGAAAAGAAAGAATCATCCTTAATCAAGCCAAGCTCAATGGACGTTGCTATGACGAGCATATGTATCGACTTGGAGTTGAGAGATGCTGATTCAGCGTTGGGACTGCGTTGGAGCCCACTGAATTCTCTTCACTCTCATTGGTTCCAGCGTTCACAAGAACTGGTCCAACATTCATCTGAATCATATTACTCTTCCTTCCAAACACAACAGTTCATAAAACAGCAACCAATTCAACTCTTGACCAACATGACACAACAATTGTGGGACGAATTTTTTGTGAGCTATAGTTGGTTACCACATGCATTCGTGGGACCTGAGCATGCATCATTGGTAGATGACATCCATGAAAGCCCATTAACCTCTGAATTTCTTGAAGGTTGCTTGGATCATGGTTTCGGTTTCTCTCAAAGCTCAATAGCTTCTTCCACTGAACAAGTCACCTCTTTGAATGTACAACCTCCAACATTGAACAATGACGAATCAAAAGGAGATCGCACGTACACAGGCACACAGGTCGCGACAAGAAAATCAACATCAGCCGCATGGATGACCTCCTATCATCCACCAATGAAATTCACCTACTATTTTGATCATAACAACTCCTTTTTGACCCCAACCTATTCAGTCAAACAAAATTCAAGCGTATGTTTGAACAACCATCCACATCCCAAGAAGCTAGTTTTCGTCAAAGATCATGGTCAAAAGGCCAAAATTTCAAAAAAGAAAAGAAAGAACAGCAATCAAATCGCCTCAAGTCTTAATAGCATCGCCACCGGAAATACTGCAAAAAAAAAGAATTCCAAAGGTCCAGTCTTCGAACTAGGGCATAACATGTTTGAGGAAATGCGAAAAGAGGGCCAATTATTGTCCAAGGCCAATCCAAGCGATCGAATGCATGTTCTCGAGTCAAGAGCTTTGATCGAAGAATATTTCTAGACATCTCTTTGTCAAATGATTAAAAGGGTCTTGTTGAAACACAAATTATGTTATCTTAATGCAAGTTCTCAAAGATATACAATCAAGGAACGAATGGTGCTGAATGGATATCGAATTTAAATGGTAAGGATACCTGCTATACATGGAATCTTCGTACAAAGAAAGGCTTGAAACCAATTAGTGATTACAAGAACCTCATCTATGCCCATTAACGACCATCTGCGGATTCCTCTTCGTCTCAGAATCTTACATTTTGTTGAGGCGATTCTTGTTTTGTTTTCAGTTCCCGTAGCAACTAGATACAAAGTAATAACGAATACCTTACCTTAAGTATGGTGAAAAGCTATTCAATCATGAGAGATATTGAATCCGAGTCGCAAGGTATGGTTCACATGTAGATTCAAGTGTTGTCGTTTTGTTTTCGTTCTTGGCATTTCAGTTATGAAATCCAACCATTTCGAGAGCAGATCACATTTTACAACCATTATCCATGATCATATTTCGGTCATTGACTTTTTAAGACGTACTTGATAATTACATCGGTATGACAATGTTATTTGGCAACTGAATCTGAACCGTCACTAGTTGTTGTCGTTGTTTCAGACATGATCAAATACAATGGTCACCGCACGCTCTCGGTGTTACTGTTTCTTTCGTTGTGTCTACATCGGTGATCTGTTTCGTTGGATGCGTCCTTCATCAAGTGACTCTTCAACAAAAAAAGAAAAAAACAACAACCACAGATAGCAAGTTGACCTGAGCAAACTCGTTGACGTAACTTTCCAGTTCCATTTCAGCGTCCAGTTTTTAAAAACAATTGTCCAAGAAGTAACAGCCACCACCACACAGATAATGAAAGTGTTTTGGTACACGTTGATAGATCTTGCCTTGCAAGACGTTCATTCAGAGTTGGGACTTACATGGAGTGTGTTCACCTCGACATGTCGAAATCCAACCATGCAACATCCAGAAAGAACCTCTTCTGCTTGTGCAGACGAGACAGATCAAACCATGTACTCAAAGTCAACGTCTTCACTCAACGATGGACACAAACTACAACGATACGTTTCATCAATGAGTATGAAAAACTCGCAGACATGCAACATTCGATCGCATGATTATTATGCCCGCAACCCAACCATCTTTTTAGAGCCAGTATCCCCCTCATCGTCGTCACCAATGAGTGAACCATCTCTTCCTTCCATATACAGCTCTAGCAAGGAGTGTTCGCCAGATTCCAATTCTTCGTCTTCTATAAATTCAGCAAGTCTTGAGGCAGGTTCTTCATCATCATCCTTCCAAGAAATGAAATCAGAGAAACTGAGATATTCAGCGAGAAAGAAATCATGTAAATTTACGTACTACTTTGATGACCATCACTCGTTTCTTCCCAACACACAAAAACCAATCATGGAAACTTCCACGAAAAGAAAGAACCCTTCCTGCAGTAAAATAACCAAGACCAACAAGACATGCCTTAGAATACAACAGTTTAAGGGCCATCCACCTCAAGCTATACAAAATAAGCATGATTCCATCTCCCGAAATGTAAATAAGGGCAACCACACCTCTTCACCACTTTCTCATTCATCACTCCCAACTCTCCGATTTTCCCACAATATTTTCGAAGAAATTCAAATCGAGAATGCCGTCTTTAGTGGTGATCATTTACATTTTGTTCAATCCCAAGGTTTTGATTATCCTTAAAAACTCTCAATCCATGAATAATTTAGCCCTTAATCGTGTTCTTAAATTTGCAAGCACTAGAAACTTTATGAATCCATCTTTCGATAAACAAACATGCGGTTAACGACTGTTTCTAAATTATTGTAAAAGTCGAGTTTTCAAAACCTTAAAAAATATTTGCAGAGGCTGATTGTATACTGCTCCAGACACACAAGTTCACGACTCGAAACTGTGGTCCGTCCGAGACAGAGAGAGATAACTGTATTCAATGTTGGTTCATTGTTAGTATGAGAAATACAAAACACTAAATCTAGCGTGTAGATCTAATTATCACCTTGTCAGTTACATGACTGAACAGTATTATTGGCAGTTACAGTTGCCTTTTCCGAAATGAAGGCTACTGTGAAACCACATAGTAACGGTTGGAAACCATGCTTCCATTCTATCTACAATTATTGAGACGCGTTTCACTTTTTGCAAGATGGCACGTTGAGATTTCAAAGATTGAGAGCAAGTGGCAAATCCATGCGTGCGTGCTATTTATTCGGCAACACTCCAACAATGTCATGTGATCAAGCATCACCGTTGTTAGCGTTGCCATTATTGGAACAAACAAACCGTTTGCTTTGTTTTCATGGTTCTGATTCAATGACCAAATGATGAATACCTAAAGCAATTGGCAACCACTTGTCATGAAATGTCTCTTCGAGCCATGTTGTTTCGCACTTGATGAATATACCACTAAAAGAAAGTTTTGTTTGTTTCACAAGTGTTCACCGATGTCAATAAGACGAATCTGAGAGAAAGTCAGAGAGAGGTGAATACACGCAAAAACGGACGCTCGTTCACATGATCCAGTCCCAATAGAATCCTTTGGCTATAAAGATGGACATGAAAGGAAAGAAGTCGTGGTTATGATCATGCAAATTTTTCCACAAAGATACAGCTTGCACCTCATCATGGTCTTTAAATGGTGACTATCAAAACATGTTGTATCTTTGTAAAAAGAAAATTACACACAACTCTTCCAAGTTGCAGCACTCATGTGTTATGAATTAATAGAAGAACTGACACAAGGAGTCATACGAATCGATGAGTTACAGGGTTTATCTACCATTGCAGAGGAAGAAATGAATGAATTACAGGAAGCGACTGATGAGAAACAACTGCAGAATGAAATTTGTCCCACTTCTGTTGAGAATAGTTCACAACACACTTCCATAGATCCAGTGGAGGATCTCTCTTTCATGATGGAGTCTTCTGAAACGTGTTTGGAAACGATCCAGACTGCAACCTCTAATGCATCATCTTGCCAAAATGAAGAATCAAGAGTTGGTGCTGATGAATCCATCCCAACTGAAATGCAGAGACAGGGCGAATGGTCAGCACTGATTGACTTGGCGTTGAAGGATGTCAACTCAGAACTAGGCCTTCGATGGAGTGTATTCCACAATCCTTCATCGTCCATAGGTGCCAATCATCATGAATGTCATCACAAGGAACATCATCCCTTCAACATGTGCATCAGTAGTATTCCTTTTACATCGTTTGATGACGGTGATGACTGCACCTGTATCACATCCATCTCTCCTGTTTCTGTTCAACAAGCAGCACCTCGGCTACAAAAACACCTCGCAGGATTGACATCTGTCGAAATGAACGCCCGATTTGGCAACTTGACTGCCTTCTTGCCCAACGCTTACACCCCTGTTGTGTTTTGTGATGAATCGAATGGTTGTCCATCTCTTTCATGTGCTTCTTCTTCCACTGCTTCCACCTCTTCCAATGCATTATCAATTTCCATCCCAAAAGTGAGGGCCTCAAATCAAGAGTGTGTTCTCACTACAAACCAACATCACGTGAATGCTACTACATCACCATTTATTCATCTCTCCAACTCTGCCACCAATTCACCACCAACGACTCAACCCCACGACATGGCTGTTTCAAGTTTCACACAAGTGCATCCACCCACTAGATTTGTCTATTACTTTGATGAGAACCATTCCTTCCTTAATCCTTCTCAGTCCTCAAAGGGTACATCTGTAAAGTCTCATCACTCCTTGAATGCAGCAAACACAACTTCGTCAACTTGTGATTATGTGATTCCTCCAAGCTCCTCCAAGATAACGAAAAGAAAAACAATGACAAAAGCTGCAAAGAAAAAGAAGCAAGAACGATCTCCAACGACGAGTGTTTCGCCAATGACAATACAGGGTGGAAATGCCACTCAGAAACAGAATGGAATTCGATTCAGTCAAAATATCTTTGATGAAATTCAGATTGAAAATTCACATCACGACGGAAAACAGTTGCATTTTGTGCATTCCAATGCTGACGAATATCAATAACAAAGTTGATATCTAATGCAGTGGGCAAAGTGAATAAACAGAACAATTTCCCACTACCTTCGTATCGAGAGGCCGTTCAATTCACTTTAGACTGCTTTATTTCTTCCGACATTAATTTTCTTCCTAAAATATTGAGTAATTTCCAAACCGGTACAAAATTAAGATGGGGTTGTGGCCATCCCAATTTCAAGGTGTTAAAAAAACGTGCACAGTTCCAGCTTGCAAAACTGCCATTCAAAGAAAGAGGGCGAAATCACTTGCTATTATGTCTCCTGACTTTCCATCGATGAATTAATACACTATTAAAAAAGCCCAGCAGCAACAGTAAAATAGCAATTTCAAAAAAGAGAAGTGTTTATCTCCCTGGAATATTGTTGTTGTTAGTATGCAATCATTTCAAAACTCGATTTACAAGAGTCGTTTCACACAAACTGTTCTTCAAGAGGATTTCCTACTCAATGAATGTTTCAACAGTCTGCTGTTGACTTCAACAGAAGATCATTCGCACTCTTCCTTCCTTGCAGCTCCGAAGATTTCTTTAAGCCCTTCAAATGAAGCAAAGTCTCATTTCATTGACGCCCACAGAGTTGATGTAAGTGACAGCTGTCACAAGGAGGTCAATTGTATCCATGGCGTTCATGTCAAAGAGTTATACGCTTGCATTGATGTTGCTTTGGCAGATGTGAAATCAGACTTGGGGCTAACTTGGAGTATTTTCAGTTCTTCACCACAATGCGTGCACTCTGACTCAATCTTGACTGAGCCATTCGTACCAAGTGTCAACAATTCGACTTCCTCTGAGAACGACTCTTTGCCATGCCTGTCTTCACACTCTTCACCTCAATCACAGACCCAACCTGCTACAGAGAATAAGCACCAACCAAGCTGCAATAACGTTGATTCACCAACGCAGTCCATGAAATTCGTGTATTATTTCAACAAGTCTCAACACTTCATTCAGCCCTCTGCCTATGAAAGAGAATCTCCAAATTCGAAACTCTTTTTTGCAAACCTCTCAGTTCTAACTCCCACTCAGCAACAAGTGTTAATGCAACTTGCTGAACGCAGAAAGTCAGGTCGAAAGAAAAAAAGCACTTTGAACCAAAACCACACCATTGTGAAGAGAAGAAGAATGAAGAAGTTGAATTCGAATAAGCAAGATACATGTCAAGCACGTTCATCTCGTCTTTGTAAATAAAGCCTTCCACAACTTGTCCAATTTCAACGATTCGTATCGATGGCTCAACTTGGAAAGATTCTTTCAGAACAAGCATGTGAAATGCGAACCACATTAAAAACTTGCCATCGTAGATCAAAATAGTTGCTTTTTCCTGTTCAAAATCAGAGTTGCGATTACCATATGCAATTGTTATATTTCTCCAAAGATAGAAAGATTAAAAAAATCATATATACCTGCGAAATTGCAGCCACCTAACCGTCCTTGACGAGTGATGGTTTCTTTGTAATGGTTAACAACAGTCTTTTTGGAGAATTTAAAAGAAATTTTCTTGTAAAAAAGATTCACTTAGAGTTATGGAGCAAGACATTATTTTTCCTTTTTCTTTGCATGATGTTGCAGCCACAGTGTCCATGGACACGAGCACAATGCCGAACGAAGCACACTGGTTGTTCGATCATATACTTCATGAAACAGACGTCTCCTTACTTGATGTGGAAAAAGAAGAACTCTCTCCACAAGCTATTTCAGGGAATATGAACAGACAGTCCGCGGACCTCTCTCTTTGCTTCGACCAAACACTCAACTTTCCAATTGTTGGTCCTTCGTTGCTGACGCTCAGCACCGAGAAGGATCTAGTTTTGAGCGAAATAGACTCATGGATTGACCTTGCTCTTAAAGATGTCCGTTCTGAATTGGGATTAAAATGGAGTTCTCTTCAGGGAAATGCATGCCGCCAAACACACGACTTCAAACAATTGTTTGGAGAGAAATCAATGCACTGTGTGGAAAGAAATCAAACGCCACAGATATATGCCTTCAATCCTCAAAACTGGTGTTCCGAGACAACAGCCTCAAATACCAAAACAGAGGTCGAATTTTCTCATGCAGGTTCCACACATTCCAACGGTTCTTGCCAGTCGCAAACTCGGTTCGACTTTGGTAGTCCTTGCTCACAACATTCATCGAACGATAGAATTACACCGGTCAAAGCTTCATTTTCTTCTCGTCCCAAGAGTGTTTCATTCATTCATCTTTCTTCTCAACCTGGCGACAACACTCAATTTACTTCAAAAGGAGGAGCCGAATTAACTCATCGACCCATTCGATTTGTCTATTATTTCGATCAAGGTAAATCCCATTCTTGTAGAAAGGACAACAGCCTTCACCAAGTTAGAGGCAAAATTCAAAAACCTAACAATGGAAAAAAGAAACAGCACAAGAGGTCACTTCGTTTTAGTTCTAATCAATATGAAGCTATCAAGTACGAGAATCAAGTGGATGGAAGGAATACAGTTCGTTTCGTCAATTTCGTTCCACACTTTGAAGACTATCTCCAATAAATTAGTAATTGTAATCTTTCGTTGTTTTGAACTTAAAAATTGAAAAATTTTGAAAAAGGTCGTATGCCCCTGATGAACGGATTGCTTTTCCGTCCAAGTTCACAATATTTCGGGAGGGTTTGTCGGGTCAGTAACAGTCCAAACCATGAATGTACCGTTATTCAATTCTTTTTTCGCTAAGCGACAATTTTAATATTCTCTCAAAGAAAAACAAACACCAACCTCATGTATTGAACTGAGTGTACTTTGGTCAGAGCCATTCAGGAAATAGTTACACGATGAACACCAGCGAATACTATCAACAAATGAGTTTTCTAATTGATGTGGCATTGAAAGATGTTCATTCCGAGCTGGGATTAATTTGGAGTGTGCTGACAACCACAACGAAGATCGAAGAAACAAGGTCATGTGACAGCTGCTACACCAACACAAGTCACTCTCCCTCGTTGAGTGCCTTCACTTATTCTTCTCGATCCACAGATATGTGTGAATCGCAAACAGCAGCAAAAAGGGAGACTAGGTCGTTTCACGTATTATTTCGATGCAAAGAATTCGTATTTAAGCCGTAAACGATCTCGTTGTCACTCATCCCACAACCTCTCACTGATAGTTAATGAGGACCCAAAAAATTGTACAATCCACAATCACAAAACAGATTGGACGAAGTTGAACATACACTCTCATTGCAGCGAAAGAGTGGTGAGGTTATAGGTTTGGACAACAAAATCAAAAAGAAATCCCCTTGTAATATTCAAAAAGCCCTAGGTATACGTTTTGGGCCAAATACATTCGACGAACTGATGAGGGAGTACAACTCCTTCTCAGAACCAACCAATCATGCAAAGAAATTACATTTTGTTCCAACGTATGAGGAAGATTGTCATTAAATCAATTCAAGGAATCATGGAGCTATTTTGAATTTGCCAACGTCCCACACAAAATGGGTCAATTAAATTCCCGAAGATTACGTCGTAATAAAAGCTTTCAAATCTGTACCTGAATCAAAAGCGAATTGTCCTCGCATCACCACAAGAGGTATCCGACATTCATGGTACTATCTTGAAATGAGCGAAACGTCGGATCCTTTGACTCCCCTCCATCCTCCTTGCGCAGGGATTATCCTCATATTTTCGAGCACTCTATCAACTACTACCTCAGGTCTAAGAGAAACTGAGAACATTGAATCATCTACATAATTGAGGCTCTCCTCAATTCATTTTTTCAACCGTAAAAAAACAACAACCGATCCTGTAATTTCTCAGACAACCATATGCTTTTGATGATTATGATCGTACCAAGATATGATAACCATTCTCATATCCTGCACAATTTAAAAAGGGTCTATCTCTCTCCAAAAATCAAAGGTTTTGAAAATGCGAAGTCAGCAAAGTGAATTCTCTCTTTCGCACATGATGAGCATTTATTTTTGGAAATATTTTATTGTTTTTAACAAGAGAAAAA